AACGAGAGGTGGGAATAGTCCCGTTGTAAAGAAATCCGCATTCTAGTTGCATTAACTCGCTTATCTTCTTGAAATAGGTACTTAGGTCTTTGTTAGATAATGAAGTTCATGGTAAACAATTTTGCGATTGCACAAACTACAAAACAATTTAATTCCCATTGTGTCTGCTTGCCCACGCGCATGTCAAAGTCTCAAAGGTATTTTAGATTAATTAATGCAACGGAAAACATTGAAGCTGTTGAACGATGTAATTAATCTTATATCCTATGATATTAGCAACAATGTATCGATATGAGACACGCAAACTTGATAAAATTCAATGTGATGCGACACTACGCGATGCGTCTTCTGTATCATTGGCAGAACTCGCAGAACAAACACTGCGTAAATGTTAGCATTATGTAGAGATGTTGAAAACACAGCACCTAAGAGACATGTAGTATCAAGAAATTAAGGTGTAGTAGTGTCTATTGCTTAAATAGTAAGGTTAGGACTTATCAAAGAACTAGGTTGGCAGAAAACTTCTACTGACTGACTCTCTGATCCTCATCAAAACTTTTGAACTCGTGAACGATTGTTGTGGGACTTCAGAGTTAAATACCCTTCACTTTCATTGTTATGTGAATTTCCAAGCAACTGAAGTATGAGGAAAACCAGGCTGCCTGTAGGTAGGTATAGCAAACACTATCACATAACATGCGCGGTCCGCTGCGCCCGCTCCCATTCTAGTGCACTCAACTGGCCGATAATAATAATAACAGTGGAAAGTAAAATCAGTCCATATAATCCCCATAGTACTATCAGCAACAGGCGTAATACCCAAATCCTTAATAAAGAACCTGGACATCCTCAAATTAAAAAGCAACTCATATCACTTAATGCAGAAAGCTGTTATTTTAAATTCATGCCGAATCATCCGAAAATTTTTAGCCGACGCGCGCTCCACATGTAACGAGTACTAAATTAAACATCATATCAATGCTATCCACTTGGTCTCGACCCGTGGATAACATTAATACCAGCATAAAATGCTGAGAATTTAAAACAACTTAAAATAATAATAATAAATCTTTAGACAATTTCACACAGCACCAGCTAGCCCCAAAGTAAGCAACTTAATGCTTGTGTTATGGGTGCTAGCTTAACGGATATACTACTTATATACTTTTTTTTTGTAAATACATACATATTATACATAGTAACACCCAGACCCGTCACAGAAATTAAAATTCATCATTTCAATTTCTGCCCGGCCGGGAATCGAACCCGGGACCTCTTGGCATAGTAGCACGTTCTGAACCACTACACCAAACGGCCGACTATAAATAACGGGTATACTCAGTAATGATGTCATGTTACTTGGATTTTGTTTAAAATATGGTATTCACAGAAGACAAAACACCAAAAGTAGTAACTATGTTTTGAATAATATACGTTCAGGTCACATATGCATATACAAGAGGTAGGTGTACTTCCTCGTATTATGATTTTTACAACGTACCTTATTATTTATCAACATCACGACTAGATACGATGTTTAACCCTTTCAAAAGTGTTTTCGTTTTCAAAATACTTTTATAGGCCTAGGTCTATAACTACCCCCCCCCCCCTCTTGGGAATAAATCCTAGTCATCATTATCATTTCTAGTATTATGAAACAAATTTGTATTTTGATAAGTCTGTTTTTTTCGTAATAAATAAAAAAATATTTAATATTAAATACCTACCTAGGCAAGCAATGTTTCTGTTGTTAAATCGTTTAAGTTAATGTTATGTACCTACGTTACAGTTGTGTGTTGTTCGCATGAATATATTTGAATGACATTGACCTAGACCCCGTCCACGACAAAATAAGGAAACGAAGTTATTAATAATCTCTTTACTTTAGGTAAAATAAGTGTTAGGTTAAAAATATTATCGTGTATGTTTACTTTTAAGAAGAAAAACCAAAGCAATCAATGTGACATTCAAATACGATGTAATATCGTTTTTCTCGTACGCGATTTTATCGAATCGAAATATTGAAAAGCATTTATGTACACGACATTCGCACCTTCGGTAGAACAAGGGCACAATTGTCAAAAATTGCAAAAATGAGTTAAGTATGCAGAAATACTTTAAAACTGTGTAGCTAATAATTAATAGCTCTCCTGTAAAATTGCAAAAAGTGCAATTGTGCCCTTGTTCTACCGAAGGTGCGAATATATACATATATCTATACTATTAATTGTTGCAATTTTGCATCACGTACCTACAAACTAGATAAAATACCATAATGAATGTGTCAACTGAATGCACCATTTGCACGGACTGCATTGTCAATGACACTGAGAAAATAGCAGGTTGCTCTACCGAAAATAGAAAATGGTTGTTAGGGCTCTTGATCCGATTCTAATATGCATTCTTAATGCCTTGCATTCAATTATGTTTTTACGTGAGTGAAAATTTTAACGAAATAATCCAGGCATATAGTTACCTACTCTTATTTAGCAGCAGCAGTCATCATCATCATCATTTCAGCCGTAGGACGTCCACTGCTGAACATAGGCCTCCCCCAATGCTTTCCATGTTGCCCGGTTGGCAGCGGCCTGCGACCAGCACCTTCCTGCTACCTTTACGATGTCGTCGGTCCACCTTGTGGGTGGACATCCCTCTCTGCGTTTTCCGGAACGCGGCCTCCACTTCAGAACCATGAAGCACCAATAAAGTATAGGAACCAAAAAAATATTGTAGGACAGCATTTTGATGAATCCAATTTTCGTTGAGTACACCATGTATAATATCCACACTACCTTAAACTCTATGCAAAAACTAAGATTAGGTATGTACTCGTATGTACAAAAAGTTTACTAAGAAATCTTTATTTCGAGTGTAAAATTACAATTTTAAAGCACGTAGCTACTTACGCCGTTTCTTCCTAAAAAAACTTACTATCATCATGTCATGATCTTTGTCTTGACCTTGGTATTACTTAAAATGATACACATTGGACATTATGTAATGTAATCTTTTCCTTATAGTAGCAACACTAATGTGTTTTTTTCACGCATGATATAATACTGAATAAATTAATCTATAAGTAATAATACACTTTCTGAGAATTATTAATTTCAGATTGATTATTATTTGTTTCTCCCGTGCAAACAAAACAAATTAAAAGCCTCAATCTACTCTCAACAATTGAATCTTGTTGAATTAGTCCTGTGTTTGTACCTATCGTTCATGATCTCTAACTACTTTAGAAGATGAATGTATGATAGAGATTGAATCAAGTTTTCAACGCTATTTTGTATTTATGGACCTCTGCAAAGAACCAAACAGCTCTTTCGAACATATAGAACATGATTACTAGTTCTGAGTAAACACACTTTTAGCGTAAGTCAAAAAAGGAGAATATGACTTAAGTAGGTATTTCACAAATCCTCTTAGATGATGCCCTACTCAAGGGATTTATAGACTTTTGGATATAATGTAAACTGTAATCGACTCAACCTGCTCTCTTTTCTGAACAAACGAACCCATGACTGAGTATCAAATTTTGTTACACATTATACCTTGGTTTATGTACAAAAGTGCATTACAATGATGCAATTCTACGAGTTGTTAAGTAGTGGAAATAACGCTATAAATGCACGTCCGGCTGGCATGGTCAAGCTTCAGTTAACTTACTACCAGTTAAGAATATTTATCTCCTAATTATTAATGAAAGGTAAAGCCATATTAATCTTATGTAACATTTTAAAAAGTATTTTTGTAAATAAATAAGCATCATCATCATCATCAACAGCCCTTTACAGTCCACTGCTGGACTATGAGCCTCCTCCACTATAGTGGAGGGTTTTGCCATAATCTCCACGCTTGGCAGGCGGGTTGGAGATCGCAGTTTAAAAATAAATAAGCATAATATTCAATAAAAACTTTTTTCAGGGCGTTTTATGTAAGTGTTATTTTTCAGTTTTGAAAGATGTGTTAACAATTTCTTTTTCCATACGATTTTTATTTTTGGTATGGTCAAAATCACATCAAAATTATCTTTATTCGTTTAAACGAGAAAAAAGAAATTCTGATAGTCACTAGAATCATAGAGCCGCTTGTTTTTACTACTTGTTTTTACAGCTCTGCACTGTAGACTAAATAAATTAGCACTTACAAATCGTCAAATACTTTTTGCCCTACCAGCGCTTCGAGACAAACATTTGACATGGTAGTCATGGTCCTTGCACCCATGTACTACGGGCAGTAACAAGCCGTTGCGCGTTGCAGGATAATTACAGCGCAAGACCCGCGCACGTCCCCATGAATGTGAATCCGCCTTTATCCGTGCGAATTACCTTTAACTTTTACCATCGGTTCCACGGAGCCCTACGCTGTGATCACTGGTTGCGCCTTTGACACAGTTACGCCGGCTTATTAAGTCGGACCGAGTCGCCAATTACCCTTTTGTGTTGTGCATTCTGTAGCCAAGGGACCTGCTGTATACAGGGTGTAGATACCTCTAATTTGGTACCTACTAATTTTATTTCATTTTATTCAATGGTCATTATAAAGCTTTCTGACGCAATCGTGTATTTTACTTATTAACTGGCATAGACAACTCTATCCACTACAAAAAGTTAGAAAAGGGGATAGTCGCTTCCACCAGAGAATTCAAAGGTTTTGTAAACAGATGTATGGCCTGAATGCAACAGTGTGAGTTATAAAGATTTTCATGGGAAAGTTTACACCAACAAAGCTCTATGTAAATAATGAAAAACAACACAGAAGACATGATATTTGTTTTCATGCTCACTTTATTTTTATTTATGTGCATATTACTAAACAGAGATTGTGAAACTCTTAAGATCATAAGCTTTCAAACATTAAAATTCACTCGGATGCAAAGTGCAAACGTTTTCATAAATTTTCTGATGCGTTTCCAAGTGTCTAGTTCTATAACTTTTATCTATGTAAGTATAGACTTACAGTTACTTTGAAGAAAAAGGTGACAAACTTATTACACGCTAGTGCTACGAAAGCAAACATGATGTACTAATACACTACCAGCAGACATTGAAGTTATCCCATATTCATAATGCAATCTACACAAAGAAAGTGCAAGTCGTCGACATGATTCTTTTGAAATAAAGCAGCCGACAGTCCGACACCAAGCTAGGCTGTCGGCGGCCTTGGTGTAGAATCCTTAATGTAATCAGATTCAATTTTACGACATTGGAACTCTATTTACCCGCTCCAAAATTATTTCCACCACAAACGCGATAGTTGAGACCGCCATTCCGAATAGTAAACAATGCCACGGAACCAAAACAATATACTTAAATTCATGCGTAGCCCCCTTTTGCCCCAAATCCCGTGTTCTAAAAATCATATCCATTGATTCATTGATTATACCACTTTCCCTCATCGCCATGAGGCGTCTATGTAACTTTTCCATCATCGGGAAACCTTTATACAGATACATGGCGTACATAATCTTATTCATTGGCCGATGAAAGAAATAAAGCCTGCAGCTAGACGCATCGCAAAATTCGTTCTTATAGTATAAATAGACTGCGGAGAGGCTGAAGGTGAACGCGGTCTCGGAGTAGCTGACCGTCTCCATGCTTTGGTAAAGGTTCCCGCATCCATGCGACAGAGCTTCAGGCTTGTAAGTCAATTCTTTGCCCTGGGCTGACACGTCCTGCATTATTGGGCTCACACACGACTTCAACTTGTAAATGGCCAAATCCTCCTCATTGGAAATCTGGTAAGCTTCCAAAGGATGTGTCGTCAGGCTCGTCAAGATCGTGGTGTAGTGCGACCCGATCAGGAAAGCAAACCAAACCCAATATATCCACACGAGTTTGGTCACCGCAGTGTCCCTCATTCTGACACTGTGAAGAAGTAGAGCTCCGAACATATTCAAGATCAACAGAGCCCTATCCTGAACTTTGAATGCTTTTATCATGAACCACGCGTAAAGCAAGAACACAAGAACGAGCAAAATCCAAACTACTGGTGGAAATTCCATAGTAATGTATCGCCAGGTATATCTTTTTTCCGCTTTTTTCACTAATATGATCACTTCGTCTACTGGTAAATGTGACCATAGGACATCGAACGCCACCGCCCTTTCTTCCAAAAGCAGCATCCCACCCATACTGATGTCCACGGCGTTGTCTCGCAACGCTTTCAATGGGCCAACGACAGACATATTGCGATCAATAGTTGAGAACCGTTCGGCGTTGTCTGTGTATAGGAGAGTATAGTTGAAATGTTCGATCTCAGCAAGAACTTCCAAAATATACTGCTCGACTCCTTGCACGCCACCAACCTTTGTTTGAGCAGGGTTAATAGCAAAGGGTGGCCAGTGCACTGTCTCGACATTGAAGTTGCAGCGCTGAAGACCAGTTGTTACTTTCTCAGGGTAAACATTTGCGACGTTAGGCTGCGAGCATTTACCATAATGGATTAATCTGTCATAACGTTTTCCACAGCCATAGTTCTCGAATGGGTTATAGGTGTACAGATTCATATCAGTCGCTCGAACAACAAGAACGTTGATGACATGCAACTTAAGGAGTACATCAAAAATATCCCGAATGTCTGTTTCAATTTCGTTAAAAATTATCAAAAAATTTACGGTGGGTTTCCACGCTGGCTCGTGGATGAGACACGGGAACTCCTTGACGAAGTCTGCCACCGTGCCGACGTGAACCAAGTAATTTTCATTGTACTCCGCAAGACTGACGTGCACTTGTCGTGATATAATAGAATTCGTCAAATTATCTTTCATATCTCGCAGTATGTCCTCATCAGATAGTATGTCAACATACGTGATTTGTGTAGTGAAATATTTATTAATTATACTCAAGACACAAGAAGCCAGATCAGGATTTTTGGTGGTCGCCACTGGAATTTTATATTCTCCGTTTACATAATATATTAATAGGAAAATAATATACAGTGCTGCCATTATGGAGACTTTAATGTAAATGCTGCATTAGAACTAATAACGATTCATTAGTCCTGTAATGAAAACATCAATCATCACCTCATTAGGTAGGTTGGCCTGCTTACAAGCTAGCTCCAATTAGTAAAAAGCAAAGTAACAAAAAGCTTCTATTTACGTTCGTCAGTAATTAATCATTTACTTTATCATTTGATCAGTATATTTTTCTATAGCTTTCCTAGATAAAATCCCAGAAGGGGTGAAACTAGATCATAATTTATCGACGACAAACATATTTTACAAAAAAAATTTTTTTTATTCATTAAAAAGTTATTACGATTCATCTTGTAGGGTACGCGTCTCTCGAAATATTAAAACAATAATTACCTACCTACCTTACAAAGGTAGACATTTTCTGCAATAGCTTATAACTTATACTAGTACTAGTACTTAGTTAAACCAGTTCATAAACAAAGTATTAGGCGCCTCAATCACTGCGAGCAAGGAAAACTAAACAGTGAGAATTTTCCCTCGTCATTGTGTAGTTAATAATTGGTTCTTCAGGATTTTCCATTATTTCTAATGATGTTTCGTAGACTTTCTCTATGAAAGTAAATAGCTACAAGAGCTGAAAGTTAAAATGAGTTTTTTATGCTAAATAACTCCATGGCATCTTAACTTTACACACTAGATTTGCTAATATTTTTACTCCTATTTTATAAACCTCCCAGGTACTAACAAAATAGGAAAAGAACAAACTATAAATCAAGTGAATCAATACCTATTTATTGCTCGAGTTCACTATCGATGTTGCTTCCAAAATTTAAACAAGGAAACGATGGAGTAACTTAATTAACATATTCATGTTAAACATAATATTGTTGTTTATTAAGAAAACCATACAGATAACAAGTAAATACTTCAAATGTTTGCTATAAACTTAACGCACTTTATTTTTCGTGTCTTCTAATACCTATTATAAAGTTGAAGAGTTTGTTTGTTTGTTTGCTTGAAGGCGCTAATCTCAGGAACAAGGATATTCCACTTATCGAGGAAGGCTTTATTTAGGCTATTAGAACATCACCCCACAGCCAATAGGGCCGGGGCAATAAAGAAAAATGATGCAAAAACAGGAAAAATATTCACTCAATTTTCACGAGTACGAAGTCGCAGGCACAGCTAGTTCAAGCATAAAGCTTGGTAAGTAGATAGTTACATAATGTAGGTACGTTACCACGTTACTCTAATTTTAGATATTACCTCAAGTGACAAAAAACTTTTTATGTTTCGAAATTTTGCTTAGGGTTTGTCATCTTCTCCTGAAAATCTACTTGTTATGTATGTTACAGTACTTTACTTACTTACCTATTTTAATGATTCTCGTGTTTACTCTCCAGGCTCCTGTGATCAGTGACGTGTACTTCTGCAGTGTCCAATGGCTTTTCATCCTGGATCAGATGTCCAGGATGCTGGCGGCGTTGCAGACGCCCAATTCCACGATATCTCTTCACGATGACGACCTAAGCTCTCTTGGAATGGTAAGTTACAAGACATTTGCCATTTTAAACACGGAGGTTCATACATTACAATGAGGTCTCACAGTACGCGTGGACGCACAGGGTCAGGTCCGTCATGGTTAACCCTTAACTGGTATCGTGGGGGCCGCGCGGCCCCCACGCATGACGTTTTCTTTGATTTCTAAGAAGCTACGCATTGTGGGCAGCCAAAATTTTTGGTATTCTCATTTCGGCGCTACTCGCGTCTGGTGCAGGCGTTTCAGCACTGTATCATTCACCAGGACGAAGATATGCACGTGTTGGGGTCCGCGCGGCCCCCACAATACCAGTTACGTTAGTTTTTTTTTTCATGGCAATTTTTATTTGTTTTTTGTTTTTTTACAGTATTGATGACTTTTAAGTGATAAAACAATAGAAGATACCTAGAACGAAGTTTTTGATTCCAAATTAGTGACTAGTAGCATGCTAGAAGAAGAAGATAGTGATAATAAAATTATAGGTCATTGTGAAGACCCAATAACCAATATTCGATCAATAATGAGGAAATTGATTCTGATTCTGAAGTTTTTTCTTCAGAGAGTGAAAATGAAGATGTTGTAGGACCTAATCAATCCAGCTACTATGAAAAAATAAATACAAGTGGTCTGAAAATCCACCAGCACCTGCTAATGTTTGTCAAAATAATATTTATGTTTTTATTTATATAAAATACTTATTATTTTTATCAAACATTACATTAATACGTTATTTATTATTAAGATCACATTATTATGGATTAATTAAAATAATAATATTTTTGGTTATAACTTTCTAAACGATAGGTTTCATAGATATTTGTAACGTTAAAAAATATTACGTAAAAAGTTGTTACTATTATGTAATGTCTTGAAGTATATAAGTAGGAAGATTTAATAAAATAAAAACTACATGATTACTTAGAACGAGCCTGATATTTATCATTTATGAGCATTTATTCAAGTATATAGGTAAAACATGCTTGCTAGAAGCAAACAAAATATGGGGGCCGCGCGGCCCCCACGATACCAGTTACGTATGTCCAATTTACGATACCAGTTAAGGGTTAACTTCCAAAGCAGTGGCGGCGTAGCATGGGTTGGCACCCAGGGCGATAGCACAGCCAGCCGTTATACATTTTAATGTCATTTTTTGACGTTTGATATAAACTCGCACTAGCCCCTCGGAAGCCAGACAGGCCGGACATTATTTATCTCTGCAACCGAAGTCGTTGGTATACCACCAACTTTATTCCCAGGGGTATCGTGGGTCTGAGAAGTGTAAACTTTAAAGAGACCCACGATACCACCAGGGGTATCGTTGGTCTGAAGTGGTCTGTAAAAAGCTAAACATGTCCGGTTACTGGCAACCCTAGCTGCGGCGACTATTTTTAGTGGAGAATACCCCAGTCCAAACCAGTCCAAAGCAGTCCAAAGAGCGAACAATGAACGTGAACGACTTCATGGTAATTGTTACTAGTTTCTTTGTTACCGAACTAGACTCGTTTGCAATTTAAACTAGCCCAGTCATAGTTACCCGTAGGTATAATTTATTTTAAATACTGACATATGCAAGTCATCAAAGAAAAAAACATTTTAATATAGGTATTATGAGTAGATATAAATATAATAAAAATGCAGNAAAGAAATAAAATGATGTTTATTATAATTTGCAGCATTTTTATTTACTTACAAACTGTCGACCCGAAAAACCCGAAAAAACCGGTTTAGTTCGGTTTTTAAAAATAAAAACCGAAAAAACCGGTTTTTCCAAACCGCTCGGTTTTTGCATGCCCTATGGTGTTATCGCTCGTCCAGCAGCTTATTATGTGTGCGCGCGCGCATACAGTCAACAACGCTCGTTGGGTTCACGCGATTCCCACATTCTGTGAGAAAATGTCTAGGCCTATTCTCTCTACCCACGTGTTGGACACATCCTCAGGCAGACCCGCTGCAGGACTCTTCGTAGAACTGTACAAGCAGAAAGAAGAAAAATGGGCGCTATGGCACAGCACCATGACCAACAGCGATGGCAGGATACAATTTCCCTTCTCCAATGACTCAATGTCGGAAGGAACTTACAAATTAATGTTCAAAGTTGGAGATTATTACAAGTGCAATGATAAAGAGACCTTTTATCCCTACGTTGAGGTATGTAATCGGTAATATTAAAATTGTTAAAAGAATTTTTAAAATAAAATAGTGTTTTTCAATCAAAACGTTGTTTTCTAGGTGCGGGCTGCCATCTATCGAGTTGATATTGTAACTAAAAAAGCAAGCTTTCTGGCGTCATTCAAAGTTCTGCCAACGTCCGATAGATGGCGGTCCGCGTCTTATTTAAAGTAAAAGGGCATAAGGTTTACATAATTATTATCAAAATTTACATAATTCATTGTGGCGAGCCTCAGCCTTAGTGCACACACATTCCTAAGAATATTAAATAGGACAACTACCTACTATGAATGCCACTATGGTGATGTCTGCGTGGGTTTTCAGCCTATGTGTGAGACTGCTACATTATCCTGAATGTGTGTCATGAAAATTAATAAAACTGAACATTTCAGATTGTCTTCAAGACCAAACAAGGAGAGCACTATCACGTGCCACTGCTGCTAAGTCCCTACGGCTACAGCACATACAGGGGAAGCTAAACATCAACCTACTCAAAGTTGCTCAAAGTCAAGACCCAAGATCTGAAGAACAAACCAAATTGCATTTTTTACTTTTATACTATACCTACCTATTAAATAGGAAATACTAAGCCAAGGTATTTTATTTTACCCGGCTTTGTTAGTTGTTAAAGATTCACATCAAGTTAGTTTTATGGACTTATCACATTTATCTACCAGTAAACTTTATGTGCGTTCCCTTCGAGAGGCCACTGTGGAAAATGAAGGTTTCGTATACATAAAGATTTAGCAGAACCTCTAAAACAAATGTAGCCAGAATGATAAATTTGTAGGTGTTGTAAGTTGGACGCTACAACTCGCCGAATGTGGTCCCTCAGATGAACTATGTCAAATGCCAAATTACTGAATCTGACCAAATAAGATGATTTTGATGAATGGTAATATTTAGGAGGTAAATCGTAGGGCTACATACGAAAATAAGAGCTCTGCATAGTTACTGCAAATAAAGAAAATCCAATCAAACGATGGGCCCTCAGTTCTCCAGTGCACAAAATTTACTTTAATGCTACAATTTGGAACTTGAGACTAAGTTTCTTTAGTAAGGTTTTAATTTCAGCAGAAGTAGCCACAATGCTACCCTGAGAGTGCAGGGTTTATATATTCTACTAGTACAGAATAAAAGCACTAGTAAAGTGAGCCCTCGGAACACACGCTGTGGCCCGAGGGCTCACTTTACTAGAGCTTTTATTCTGTACTAGTAGAATATATAAACCCTGTACTCTCAGGGTAGCATTGTGGCTACTTCTGCTAAAATTAAAACCTTACCAAAGAAACTTAGTCTTAAGTTCCAATTTGTAGCATTAAAGTAAAATTTGTGCACTGGAGAATTGAGGGCCCATCGTCTAATTGGATTTTCTTTATTTGCAGTAACTATCCACAGCTCTTATTTTCGTATGTAGCCCTACGATTTACCTCCTAAATATTACCATTCATCAAACTCATCTTATTTGGTCAGATTCCTTAATTTGGTATTTGACATAGTTCATCTGAGGGACCACATTCGGCAGGTTGTAGCGTCCAACTTACAACACCTACAAATTTATCATTCTGGCTACATTTGTTTTAGAGGTCCTGCTAAATCTTTATGTATACGAAACCTTCGTTTTCCACAGTGGCCTCTCGAAGGGAACGCACATGTAAACTTTTTATAAAGTGGTCTATCATTTCTCAAATTTTAAATCAACTACAGGTAGACATTACATAAAGACCTAACAAATACATACAACTTTCACATTACCTATTCATTATGTTGGGTAAATAAATAAAACCATGGAATCTGTGAACATTACAATATAATAAAGTTGCTCATTATAAAACATTAATGTAGCTTTCTAACTTCATATTTACATAAGAATTATGGGGGTACCATCAAGGCTCAAGCATTTTACACAAGCTACACATAATCTCTTGAAGGGCTCACACAATACAATATGTATTTTAACTTATGTAGATAGACATAGGTTAGTTAATTTATAGTATAATATCATTACCATGGTATACTCCTTAAACATTATGATTGTGAAAAAATATACTGGAACTATTTCTGTCTTTTCCTTGCTAATCTACAAAAATAATTTCAAACCTACAACAGTTATCCTATGTTGAAAGTAAACCTATTTACTTCTCGAACTACAATAGTATCAAATAAATTATCCTATCAACTAATCTAAAGTTATAACATCGTTGTGGCTCAATTTATTAAAGATTTTAAACTATAATAATACATAATAATTAAATGCAGTACAACATTGTTCTCTTACAAGTTTCATAGTTAATTAACATTGCAATTAGGGTTGCCAGGCGTCCGGCTTTACCCGGACATGTTTGGCTTTTTAGGGACTTGTGAACTTGTCCGGCCAAATATTGCCTTGTCCGGCCTGTCCGGCTTTTGTTAGGCTTTTTATTTGGTTGTCTCGCCAGGCGAAAGTCGAGCCACAGAATTATACGAAGCGCACGCATCAGGATGTTGGTTAGCAACCGATGATGATAGTACTCACTCATGAGCTGACACTAATTGCACCCCCCCATCACAAGTCCGGCTTTTAGGGTAAAATGTCCGGCCAAATGAAGCACAAAGTCCGGCTTTTGTGATTTTGGACCTGGCAACCCTAATTGCAATAAATACATGTCTAACTAATTCGGAAATTTGAGATTGTGGAAGCCTAGCGATATTGTGTTAAAACTATTAATTTATTGCTTTAAGAATATTTAAAATCAACAGTATCTTTTCACAAATAAGTAGCCTACGGGCGTTTTACATTACTTCTGCTAATAATAACTATTTAAGTAAATATATTCTATGTTAACAGTTGGTTTATGTAAGTAACACAACTTATTTAAATATGGTGGGTGATTTAAAGATTCATAATTTATATTAAAACAATGGCAATCATAATAAACAATTTGAAAATTGATTGATCAATCTAGTTGGGATTTGAATTCATGATTTAATCATCTGATAGAAAATTCTAAGCTATTTTGGACGTTATTTTAAGTTAGCTAAGAGTATAAAATGTGTATTTGTAACAATGTTTGGCACGGAGGTCCCGAGGCAGGCGCGACTCTGCAATATAAATAGTCACAGACATCAGTATTGAGTAAAGTTTCAAGAGTTCACCATTTCTTCAACGTCACATCACAAAATATCACAGTTCTATCACAGCTTCGTGCATCCAAGTCTTTAGTCCAGGGTTTTCACTATTCAAGCTTCACTCTGGCGCTAAAAAGTGTAAATACCTGCCCTATTTTGGCTTGGGAAAAAGAAAATGGAGAAATATTTACTAGAAAATATACACAGAAAATTGTTGAAATTTCCATATTTTACCTACATTTTATGTCAAACAATATAATATGGCATCAAATAGTGATAGTTACTACTAGTTAGATAGAAATTTCAACAAATTCAACATTTATAAATTCTCATCCTTCGACGACGCTCTCCAGTCCTGTAGAATTGCGACCAATTTTAATATTTACCTTTCAAAATCTGTGGAAAAAAACAATTAGACACAATATAAATAGGATCTACGTTACTACGCAATACTTACCACTTGTAAAGACGATTTGATCATTGGCTGGCCTCTAGGGAAGGACGCGGCGCCATATCTAGCGTAGTGAAATCAGAATCAAACCATTAGACAAATATGCCCACTAAAACTCAACCTTGACAATTTTCCATAGGACCATGTTTGTAGACAGGTTTTTGTTTGGAATAAACACACAAAAGCTAAAACAGTAGACAAGTAGTTGACAAAAAGAAATCCAATTATTATTTACCATCTTGGCCCAGCACACTTCTGTGCTCCCAAATTCCATCTTTTTAACTATGAGCTTTGTTTATGGAGAACAATGACTCCCACAATTAAAATTATACAGATAATCATAGCTGGGCATTAACTCGTTAATCCGTTAATCGTTAATTAACGAAGTTAACATTTCTATTAACGGATTAACTTTTAAGTTAACTTTATAAAATGTTAACGGACTCGTTAACTTCCGTTAAATTATCCTAAGTCCGTTAATCGTTAATCCAGTACCTACTAATTACCAAAAAGATACAGCAGGCACGCTGAAAAACACTAGAAAAAGGGAGTGCCTTCGCTGCCGGCGCCGGTTTCCAAAAATATCGCCATTGTGAACCGGCGGCGGTGATACCACGTGATACACTGCCGGCAGTCAAAACGGCTGCCAGCGCTGGCACTCAGTAAAGGCAACCGGCAACAGAGGGTTCAAGTCAAGTGCAAAAAGCTAGTTTCTAAAACCGTACTTTTTTATTACTTTAAAGTTTGGTTGTATTGTTTTTCGATAGCTGCGAGTATGTGCGTTTCCACATGTTTTTGATACACTTGTATAAAAATAAAAGTCGGTGATGAATATTCGTCTTATGAAGAGTTCGAAAACGCTTAAATATAAAAACAGTGTCTAAAACGAATACTAGACTATATTTCTCCGCCTGAGTGCCACTCAAAAAATTTTTAAAGTTAAAAGTAGAACTGAATGAAAAACACAATGTAACCTTCAATCATCTTTCTCAGCAAAGATTAAAATTGCCAAAAACTGTTAAAGATCAGGCACTGTTAGTTTAAAAGCAGGCGCTAATAAAAAATTGTATTAGATCAAAATAATTCAAAAACAAACTGGATGCAAAATTACTCTAAAAGATTTGACTAACTTATCAAGGAGGACTTGTCGAAAAATACCTACAAATGTAACATTACTAAAGTATGGACCAGCATCCGGCGCCGGTTACCAAATGAGCGACCGGCGCCGGCTGCCGAATCAGTGACCGATGGTGCCGGCTACGGCTGCTGAATCAGCCGCCGGCGCCGGCAGCGGAGGCACTCCCCTAGAAAAACGCGTTCTGACAAGTACGTTCGGGCTTCCAGAACTTCCAGAACCCAAAACAACAGTTTTTGTAACCAGAACGAAACGATATAAAAAATGCTATTTTTTATTTATTTACAAGCTTTACTTATATTGACTTCACTTGTTTGGAGTCAGGAGGTGGCCATAGGAACTCCTAAACGAAACGGTGAAAACTTATCGAGTTTGGGTTTGCTGGATTTGTCTTTTCGAGCACTTTGGTGTTAAATTGTATTGTAATTGAACCAAGGCTCTGAGATTGTGATACTATAGACTAAGAGCTGGTGAACTCCAGACCAGAGACCTTACTAAAACGTAAAAATAATTGTATGCAAGGTTCAAATAATTTCGAAAGCTTGTAGCGCAAACATAAATAAAAAGAGGAATAAATTCCATGCGCAATGCAAGGTTTCGAAATTATTTGAACCTTGCATACAATTATTTTTTTCGTTTTATTATCATGTGTTAACGGATTAACGATTAACGTTAACTTGCGTTAAATCTTGCTAGATGTAACGTTTTAACGTTTAACGAAGTTAATTTTTTTATTAACGGTTTAACGATTAACGAAGTTAACTGTTTGATTAACGGTGCCCAGCTATGCAGATAATAATAGGTAAAGAAAGATTCCAGGGAGACATTTTATAATCAAGAAAATTGGTGGTTACACAATGTTAGTAAAATTACCCAAAAATTACAATAAGAAAAAATGATTTAGCTGACCTGAAAAATCCTGGGACCTGTAAACAAACAATTAGTGCAGAAAAATGGAAATAAACCCACCTATTTTCCATCTTCTTGGCCGACAACTTCCTTGTATCTTGCAATCATCAGCTTCTTAACAGTGTCCCGATACGTCTCACCGGGGGTGGGTGTGTATATGCCTCTCTTCTGTCCTAGTCCGACCAAACTTGGCCTCTGTTCTGCTTCAATAGGGGCTATTCTCCCTTGCTCCTCTTTCCCAAGCCCTCTTCCCTCTGACCAGCCCATTTTCTGCAACATTTTCCCACCAATAGTGTCTACTACTGACGGAGGTGGATGGGATTGAACAGGCACTCGAATTTCTGGAGGTTCATACCGTTTCCTGATCGGTGGTGGCTCGTCCTCTCCGAACTTCATTCGCCTCTCAGCTGCCCGGTCTCTATAGCCATTAGTCTGAGGCAGAAGCTCATTCTTCTTGCGGTATTCAGCCAAGTTCTGTTTGTGTAGATCTGATAAAGATTTGTGTTTACTCAGCACATCGGCCGACGGAAAACGTCTCTTGCACAGCAGACACGTGAGTTTAGCCCAGTCAATAATGCCGTCGTCACTTTCAGTTGCAACGGGGTCAGTTATCTTTTTGACCAAAAATTCATCTGTTGTTGTTTCTGGAGGCGGCGATAGCTCTCTGACAAGGGTTAGTGAAGGCCCGGCGCCTAATACTGAATAACCAATATCAGCGGAGCCTTTACTAGCACTTGTGTCTAACGGTTGCTCCATGACAATATTACTGCGAGCATTCTCCTTCTTCTGATTGAGAGTGCGAGCCCAGCGCTCCATGTCTTTTGCTATTTTCTTAGCTACTTTGACCTTATCCTCTTTCTCTTTTTTTTTCTTTTCCTCTGGTTCCTTTGCTATAGTATTTTCAACTGTTGCTTGTGGTGGGCTGGGTAACTTGGCTTGGTCTGTGTTCTGGTGGCTTTGTGTGGCCGCTATGTAAGTAGAACTGGTCGAATCCCAGTACATGTACTGGTTGGTGGTGCTATTGTAAAAGTATTGGGTGTTCCCGTCATAGTACAAACCAGTGGCCGGGTCATAGTAGTACCCTGAGGTTTCGTCATACATGAATGTCCTCACATCGGGCGCACTGTACTTTGTTTTCCCATCACCGGTAGGAACATTTACTGCTGGATTTGGTTGGGTTGTGGAAGCTACAAAGGTAGGAGCGGAGACGGGAGTCCAGGCCATCTGCCTCGCTTGAGCTGCTGAAATAGCCGACTGAGCCACTGCTGCTGCAGCGTTGACTCTGTCCGCTTCAGACATGGCCTGGGTGGACGCCGAGTAATTTGCCATTTGCGCATAATATGCAGAATAATCAGAATTGTTTGGATTATTTGACTTTAAGAGTTTTTTAGGCTCAGTGTAAAAAGTGATCAGGACTTCTCGTCCATCTATTTCTAATGGAGGTGTCAGGGACACTAAATCTGAATGAGCAGCAGTGGAGTCTGCAATGGAGTTAAAGTTGATGTAGGCCAAACATTTCGAAGCACCAGTCAATGTTTCTCTACCGATCGTAATACCAGCTATGGAATCCAACACAGATTTTGAACATCTTTCTTTGATTGCATCTAAGATTTTTTCCTCGGTGGTCAAAGCATCCAGTCTTCTGAACAACAATCGCTTGGTGATGCCCGCCGCATCAGTGAGGGCATTCTTGTCCATATCAACACCGTAAACAATCCCTTCGGACCTCTTTCCTTGACAGTTCCGTCTGTAGCATATCTGCCGTCTTTTGAAGTTGTACAAGCCACATTTGCAGAACCAATCTCCGGGGGAAGCGTTGAGGCCGGACTGATCCTCTTTTTCATAGTCGTCCTGCCGCTCTCCACTGCGTGATCGGCTGGTGGAGCGAGAGTCGGGCTTCTTGTCATTGTTTTCACTGATTTTGGGGGGACTAGGAGGCGCGGGTATGTCCCTGTCCCGCTCCTTGTCGTCGAAGCGGCGCGGCGGTGAGCGCCTGCGGTCCCGCTCGCGGTCGCGCTCGCGGTCGAAGCGGTCGCGGGCGCGGTGGCGGTCCGCGTCGCGATCGTAGCGGTCGCGGCGATCGTCGTCGCGGTAGCGCTCGTCGTCGCGGTGACGATCGCGGTCGCGGTCGTAGCGATCCCGATGCGACCTCCGGTCCGGGCTGCCGCTGCGTCGCATCTCCCAGACGGGCGAGCGCGTCCGGTTCTCGCCCCATCTCGTGTCGTGCTCGTTCCACCTCCCGCGGTCGTCGCGGCCTCGCCAAGACATGGCTGCCTGCGAACATCGACACGATGAAGGCACACGCATACTCACGACTTTGTCCGCCCCGAACCATGATGGTGCCCTACAAAACCTCGATCAATGACCTCCGCCGTTTTGTTTACCTGCTGTACGTCACCGGTACAAATAGTATTAAATCCTGCAATCCACGGTTCTGTTATCACTTTCAACGCTGTTAGTTTATATAAAAGCTACAAATAAGTTAGTAAAAATTGCGTTCAATAAATTTTTCCCCAACACAGTCAAGTCACCGCGACGCCATATTAAATATTTTTGACAGCTAGCTCTAGTGCTGCCAGTAACTCGAGCACAATTAATCGAATTATCAATTACAAAATCAAATGCTTACACGAGTTAATAATTTATCCATTACCATTAATTATTTTACGACATTGGACTGAAAGATTTTAAATTATTTTTATTTATCAACAAAATATAATGGAGTTACTGTCCTTATGGTACGGTTTACGGTTCTTATAACACAAAAACCCGATTTGCCAAAGTGTTGCAATCAATCACGACTAATTTTAATTTACATTGTTTGAATCATAAAGTTAATATTCCTTCGGAAGGAATATTAACTTTATGGTTTGAATACATTCCCCTTTGTGATAATAAATATTATTTAGATTAAACATAATTATTTTGCCATTTATTTTTTTACTACTTGCTTTAAATGTAAATTAGGGTGATTCTTTGTAAATCCAAATAAGTGGTAGAGTCTATGCACTCCCAAAATATTTCAAAAAAGGCCTTTGATTTGGCTTTTTTGCATGCAACGCATAGTCAGCCTTTGACTTATTTTGTTTTAGTTTGTAAGTAATTATAAATAATACCCGAAAAAGTAAAAATATTGAAACAAAAGTTTTATTTTTATTTTAATAACACACAAAAATTACAACAGCTGTAAAGGTAACCCTCATAAGATTTATTAAATAATACTCATTATGATTTTGAATAAAAACGCTTGCTAAATTATTCAAATTATGACCAAGTCATTACTTTTTAAGCTTATTATCCTAACCTAAAGTACATTTAGTTCAAAACTGAAATGTCAGCATAAATAAGCAAATCTGTTGGGTAACATAAATAAAATTATTCCTGATTACTACTAAAACAAAAAACTGCTTTTATTACGTCATCTCGTACATTTTCAAAGTGTTGCGTTTGCGTGTGACGCTAGTTTACTAACTACTTGCGAATTATATTAATATTTTTATTTATGTCGTGTAGAAAGCCGAATACTGAAACGATATTAAAATGAACACAATCAATTTTTGTTTCCCATGATTAGATTGAACACTTTTTTCCATCGAACATCTCTCATCACATTACAATTGTTATAAAATCATCTGAAATTATTTTACAGAATCATACCTATTTATATGAACAGATAGAGTTAGTGTTAACGTCAGGTGACAAGACAATAGTCTTATTACTATGGTACTGACTTTTTATAATAATAACTAAACAGACTTAATTTTGAGCGTCGTAACAGTATTCGACTAAAGTGAATTATTAAATGTTCAATCGACTCTTTATAACTTTATTTCAATGTCATCTTCTGACAACACTAGCCCGGCAAAGAACAAATTTTATTATCAGATGAGACACTACATTTATTTCACCTACTTTAAATAATGTGGTCATGCACGGAAGACGGCACCACTTGCCTTGTTTATATCTTGCAGTGTACTGTTTAAAGATACATACATCAGATCGAATTTAGCCTTCTATTGATGACACCTCACAGTAATGTCACTGGCTACCAGTTTTATTAGTCAATCACACTTCTTTTAAAGAATATAGATAACAGATTCTACAGAATCTCGGTAAGCCAATTCATCAGGAAATTGATCAAATCAATCGCATAGTTGCCTAATTTAAAACATGAATATTAGCAGAAATAGCTGTAGGAACAATTTTTTGGTGAATAGTTGGTTAAATTATTTAAATGAAATAAGTTAAATTGCCATTTTAACTGGTAAACTGTGACATTCACACGACATACATAACTTGTGTACCCATAGCAAACAGCTCTTTTTTATCACAACAGTAAAAAGTTTAGTCTTTTCTAGCGGCCGAGAGGTGTTCCCTCAATGTGCTAATTTCCCGTTCGATGTTTTCTCTTGCAGCCGATTCTAAATCTTCAAACTCTGGTGTGTGAAATAGTTTTGGAATTTGATTGAATTGGTTGAGCACCTGAAACAAAGTGATTAAAATATTAATTATGGAAGACTGTGCAAATTTTCTAACAATTAATGAAACAAAATGTCTAATGCTGCGTTTACACTGCGCGGAAATTAGCCAAGTCAAGTCAAAAAAACAGTGGAGTGGGGATGAATTATGAATGAATTTCATCCCCATTCCTCTGTTTTTTTAACTTGACTCGGCTAATTTCCTCATAGTGTAAAAGCAGCATAAAAGTTTCACTGCAGTTTAATTATAATTATGAGACTCAAATGTCGGCAACCTACTAAAAATGTATGACTCACTTTGATCCTTAGTTCCACATAATGTTCCTGGGTGAGCTTGGAGTATTCCGCCCTCACAAGTTTAGCGTGGGCATCATATTCCTCCTTAGAAGCAGCTAGGACAGCCAGTTCACAGTCCCCGAATAGTTGGAGGTCCCTCAGAGGCGCCGGTCCCGGAGGCGCCGTCGGTGAGCCGCCGCCTGATTCACCTTCACCACAGCTTCCACACCATTGAGCTTCGTCGTCTGTCAGTAAGGCAAGGACGTAGGATGTCAAATCTTGCTGTGAAAAAAATAAGGAAATTTCTCAAAAAGTGTTTTTTTTTTGTGTTAATGATTTCTGCAATCAGTCGCCAGACTATAATAACAGATAATTATGTTGAGGGTCATTTTATTGTTAAAGAGGAGCTGGCCTATGCCTAAGCTGTCTTCTTAAATTACGTGGTTTCTTTTTAGCCTTTTAACCACGTTGTCATTCTCCAGTAATCCATAGGCGAGTGGATTGGGGTGATGAAAAAAAAGTGTTTTCAATGTATCCCAACTATCCCAACTATAATATATCCCAACTAATAATATTATAAATGCGAAAGTAACTCTGTCTGTCTGTCTGTCTGTCTGTCTGTCTGTCTGTCTGTTACGCTTTCCCGCTTAAACCTCGCAACCGATTTTGATGAAATTTGGCATAGAGATAGTTTGAGTCCCGGGAAAGAACATAGGATAGTTTTTATCCCGGTTTTTGAAACAGGGACGCGCGCGATAAAGTTTTTCTGTGACAGACAAAATTCCACGCGGGCGAAGCCGCGGGCGGAAAGCTATATTAGGTATAAAACTGAGCAAATTTTACGGAAGCAACGTCATCTATGTATATTCTATGAGGCTTAAGGTTAACTTTCACGCTTTCGTTCGATCGACGATACATACCGACTGTGGATGTGATCGTAGCAATTCTGTGAGCAGCTTGACCGTGACTTCTGACGGCGTGTGACGCAATACTATAGCCAGCTTGAATGCTGCAGGCTGAACCACATCTTCAATGCCTTTCGATATTAATTTCTGCCAGATACCCGCCTGAAACAAACAATATGAATGACAAAAGTTTAGTGAAAAAAAGATTTAGGATCTTAATACTATAAAAATCCATTAGTCTTCCTCATACAAATCTGTAACGTCATTGAACCAAATAGAGGCGTTTTCTTAGGTAGTATGATAAGCGGAGGAAGCCAGTTATTGTATGGAAAAAAGAATGGCTTGCGTGTCTACATGTGAAACTGTTGTTGAGACTACGACACGGTCATCATTATACTCGCTGCTCCAATTCCATGAATCATTGTCTCATTGAAATGCAAGCTCAAAACAAAGTGTTAGAATCTGAACTTTTGATAGCTAAGTTGGTTGAATTGAAACCTTCAAAATTACTCCCAAATAATAATCAAACTGTGTTGGTTCATATAGATTCTTGGTGGATAGTTGGTACCTACTTGAAAAACCATTTTGAATTTCTGTCAGCGCGCCAGATCGCATCAGCTTTGGTTAAGAATTATTCATCTTTAATGCAAAGTTTCACTTTCAAGTTCAACCTAGCGCGTAAACAATATTGAAAACAAACTTAGAGCTGTTTTTTATTCACATTACATACTCTACATAAAATATTATTCACATATTCAATGAATAAGAAAATAAGGTGAAAATGTCGTCAGAGATTAAATCGAGGACTTATGAAGGTTATTTCTAAAATAATCCTACTGTAATGCTGATTTTGGAAGCACAAAAGAAAGAGACATTATTTGTTCTGCTGCATATCAGCATCAGCATCAAAGAACTCGCAAGGATCTTCTGCATTTTCCATTCTTTTCTTGAATGGTCATTGCTATTAGTAGATTTTCATGGTGTTGTGTTATACTTAGAAGTTAGCGGGAATTGAACCCACGACCTCACGCTTGCCGGGCGACTGCTCTTCCAACTGAGCTACTTAGACACTAGATGAACCCGTTGAAATTTTCAAGTTACGGCCAGCGTGTGTTTCATCAATGTTGGGTATACCTACCCTATAATTTATCCATTCTGATACAGGGTTCTTCCTAGTAGAGTGCTAAAATCGTAGGTAATTTTTATTCTTTCATTAAAGCTCATTTTTAAGCTGTTTTTAGATATCTAGCACTAGCATAGTCGCATTTTGAATAACCACAGATCGTACCTGATACGCCACACAGTTCCTGATGGAGTGCCACAAGGCATCCGAGGGCGATGTGTCCACGATCTGCTTCCAGGCGTCGTCGGCGTCGGGCGCGCGCAGCGTGCCGCACGCAGCACGCCACATGCGCGCCGCCGCGCACCCCTCCCGCTCCCCCGCGGGTACTGAGACAAAACAAGACAGGACTTGCAATTTAAACATTCAATGTGCAATTTTCAATCATCGGGGAACCAGTCGCAGCGTACCATCCCTATATTGTTGTCATTCCACCAGCTCGCACTAAGCGTTTCAATGACTTTTTTATAATGCGAACAGCTAGGGACTGGAATTCGTTGCCTGCTGCTGTCTTTCCCGGAGACTATAATCCGGGCCTTTTCAAGGCGAGAGTAAATAGGCACTTACAGGGCAGATATTATGTACCATCCTAGACTGCATCCCACTTAACATCAGGTGCGATTGTGGTCAAATACCTGCCTTGTTATGCATAAAAAAAACCAGACTTTATAAACTATTTTATTGTCTAGATTTTTCTGGCATTTGACTCCTGAATTATCATGCATACAGTGTCGGACCTGTCGGATGACCAACCTGGATGGTGGTTGTGATATTTCATGCATATTGTAGGCATGCATAGAGAAAAAAATAACGATATAAATAGGTAGAATCACCAGAACTAACGGTCCTATGATATTGAAATAATATTGTTTTCTTCACCGATTCATATACGTTAATTTAGATTATACGACGTGATTACTGGCTATGTTATAACTATAAGAAAAATACTGAACATTTTAATAAGCACCTACGAAGTTAATATTCCTTTCCCTTTTGTAGGGTAGTACTACTGTTTAATTAACAGTATCATAACAGCACCAATCACACACGTAAACAAGAACACGTTTACACGTTGTGTTGATTGAGTATCAGTTCTCAATAAAATCTGGGACAAAATTGGGTACAACAGAAATAGGCACAAACTTATTTTCACTGACCATTCTCCCTCTTAGCACTAAAGCATTTAGGTACCTAATCTATGGACCGAAGGGCATTAATCGATAATTTTAACAACACTGTCCGCACATAACTGTCAATGTGTCACGTGATAAGTAGAAATTTCAACCACACTTTCAACTTTCAGCACTGTAAATAAACAAAAATAATCACCTCCCATATCGGGTTCCTTCCACCAGCTCATCGCTAGCTTGAGAGATTCTAGGCTGCGAAGTCCAGCCGTTAGCTGTGAAAGAACAAAATGATGTGTTACAAATGCTCAGAGTAAAAACTTCGTTACAAATTCAAGGTCAACGTCGTCGACTTGACCGATCTCCCCCCTCTAGGGAAAATTTACATCTGAAAAAATATTACATGGAAAAGACCTCACCTCTTCCAGTTTGTAAAAAGTCACTGCTATTTTAAAACTCGTGAAAGTAGCAACAATTAAAATTAAATCCTAATCCAGAAAGGTGAACCTACCTGAAAATTCCAGGTTTATCCTGGCTGGCTGGGAATAAAATCTCCAATTTTTATTGACAGGCGTGGAGGGCGCTCTCGCTCGAATGATGTAGCGCGCGGCCGCTCTGAGGGGAGGAGAGCGGGCGCAGTGATGTGTGCTACGGAACGTTATCGACAATCGATGCTGCGTGCAGCTAAGCAGGGATTAATATTAAGCTGTTTCTTTGGAATTGCTCTTTTTGCTGTAACGCGCTCAAAAACAATTTACTGCTTTTCTTTACGAAATGTCATATCGAAAGATAATTTCTAGCTAAATCAGATAGCCAGTTTTTACAGAATAGGTTTAACCTTTATTTCAAGAGAAATTGGTTAGACCTATTTTGTTTGTTATCGTTTTCCAATACCTAAATAATAATGTCCTCTTTATAAGATTTCCAAACTATTCATTACAAATAAATCTATGAATCGATTTATTTGAGTACGAACATCACTAGATGTCAAGGGAGTGAAGTCGACGCATGCGTGAGGGCGCGCGGCTTGAACTTCACGAGAGGGATAATTTTTTCACCTTTTCAGTCTTGTGGTATTATGTACTTTATGCGAAAGGCATTAAGAATCAATTTGCAAAAAATACTTGGAATGTCGAAATTGAATCTTAGAAATGAGTGTTTTACTGCTCTAGCAATAAGGTTTTAAATTAGATTTACATTTAATCGTGACTCAGCGGGCTTGAACCATTATCCCTGAACTCGACCTAGGAAATACCATTTTGTAGGAATGCCTGGAGTTTGGTAACAAACCCCCAGAAATAAAATGTGTTTTATGGAGGGCCGGCGGAATTTGCTGCCCGCATAAAATAAGTCTAATGTGGTGCCTTACATTTTTTGACCACATTTAATTCGGTAGATGTTTTAAAAGTAACGCACGTAGTTTCAGTAATAAAAGAGCTTTCAATAGAACTCAGCAAAGTAAATCTTAGAGGTAGAAGGAACATAGTTAGGAAGAGGATGGTAGACGGATACTAAATAGGTAATAATAATATGTTGTTCCTATTGCTCTGGGTGTCTTCTGTGTAGGCAATTAATAGGTAACGTAGGCTACTTATAAAAAATTCGTATGAGATGCGAGACTTAACACTAAAAAATATGTAATAACTTTTTTACTAGTTTTTTTTTTATTTGCCAGGCAGGTAAGTATCTGTATAAGTGTAGTAGGTAAGTTAGTATTTACACGCATTTTTATTAGTAAGATAAGTAAGTAAACTGTCCAAGGATATTTATAGCTTATTTATTTCATAATTTCAGACAATAAGTAATGTTTAGGATTGTCTGATTCTCACTTCGAACGAAGATTGGAGTCTTTTGGAGCGTTTGCCCAGAAATAGTCATTATACAGGGTGTTAGGTAAATGGGTATATGAGCCGACTAGCCCCTGTTAACATGGGCATAATTATAAATGGTATGGTGAAGTCAGAAATTTGATATCATCATTTTATTTTTTTTAATTTTCATACAAAATACATTTTATAAAATCCGATTTGTATGACCATATTAACATGGGCTAGTGTCGGCTCATATACCCATTTACCTAACACCCTGTATATTATTATCTGAAGCCCTAATAGTCCAAGGGATAGAGTTCGTCCCACAGCTTGAAGCGGTCCTCGAAAATTCGCGCGCGAACGCTGAGCGGCTCGGCCACGCGCAAATATTTGCGCTCGGCAGGCGTCATGGCGGGCCAGTGCACGGTCAGCTCTGGTTGGTTTTCAGACGGTGGCGGGTTCGGGTCTCTGGAAGGACATTTCTATTTAATTATTGTTCAAAAATGGCTTTGTGTTTGTAGAAGCCAGTTGTGTTGCCCTCTCTGGAAGAGAAAATTTTTTTTTTAAATAATATCGTTCGCCTCCTGTCACATAATAAAAAAAAATTAGCAAGTTAACCCCTTGTGGTAAAATATGATTGCGTAGTTGTGTGTGGGGGGTACACAGTACACTACAATAAATTGTAGTCGAGTAGTGACGGGGTTCGAACCCGCGTTCCTCGGAAATCGAATCAGATATTCCGACACCTTTAACCGTTCGGTTATTGTCGCTTGTTCTGTGCTCAGATATATGTACTTACTTTGTATGGTAATGGTACATGAGTAAAGATTCTCTACTGATGTGACAATAGCTTAGTGTTTATATATTCAATTCCATTCTGATCGTACATTTGGATAGAGAGATTTACACCATGACAATAGGCTAATAATAGGCGAGCGCCTTTTTGACACAAAAATATGCGTGTATAGTTTTAAGTCCCTTTGTTCTATTTTTTATTTTTTCTTTTTGTGTCAAATAAAGTTTTTCTTATCTTATAAAACCTTTCTTAGTCCATCAATTATTTATCAAAAATATTAGACACTTATTTAGTACTTGCAAAGTTATTGCGTTGAATTTCCTTGTGACGTCACAAAGTTCCTACACTAACCACGTCTTGACGTCACGGGCTTTTTCTTGCACTTGACGCGCTATATCTCTTTCAATTGACGTGGTATTGTGAACGCTGTATTACCCGTATCTCGCGAAGTTGTACCAGATGGTGGTCATGCGGTCGACCATGAATGAGTCCCGGCTGTGGTCGGCCGGGATGGCGGGGTAGCGGAAGCTCAGCGTGAACAGGTAGAGCATGTCGTCGTGGTGCGCCGCGCCTGGGGACATTAAATATAAATATAAATAAATATCATTGGACATTAAACCTCCGACGACCTGATAAAGGTAGCGGGAAGGCGCTGGATGCAGGCCGCTACCAACCGTGCGATGTGGAAGTCATTGGGGGAGGCCTATGTTCAGCAGTGGACGTCCTGTGGCTGAAATGATGATGATGATGATGATGGACATTAAACACTACGCTTCTAGTCCCAAACTAAGCAAAGCTTGTATTATGGGTACTAGACAACGGATATAAACATACTTAAATACTTTTTTTTTGTAAATACATACATATTATATGTACCTACATAGAAAACACCCAGACCCGTCACAGAAACTAAAATACCTGTTTGTATTATTATTATAAAGAGCTGTGGTTTTCTGAATAAAGAAAAATAAAATACTTACAATAAAATTCATCATTTCAATTTCTGCCCGACCGGGAATCGAACCCGGGACCTCTCGGCATAGTAGTCCGTTCTGAACCACTACACCAAACGGCCGACCTATCTATCTATAGCAGCCTTTAGGTTCGCCTTCGAACATAGGCCTCCTCTTCCACCCTCCAGATATTTTATGTGTCGCGTTAAGACCCATGTCTTTTCTATTTTAGAGGTGTTGTCACTAGCCAAAGGTTTATTCCACTTTGATCCCGCAGGTGATCCAGTTTGATCACTTTGCGAACACATTGCGTCAGCGTGCAACGCACACCCTGCACTATAGGCACAGAATAAGTAATAGTACAGGTACAGAAGGATTACTCCGCAAGACGATTTAAATAAATGCGAGTCTTGCTACGACGCGATTCAGTGGAATTCAGCTCGCACAGCACTACGTACCTACAATTTTATTCACCTACAAGTTTTGTCTCTTTCTATCGCGTGCCTCTGAACTCTTCTTACGCTGTTAGGGTTGCTGTCTAGTAAAAAAATAATTAATCTACTTACTTGTAATGAGGTACGTATGTAGGTAAGTATGCATTCATTATGGAAGGAAAACCTTCATAGTAGGTTAGGTTCCTATACTATCCTAAGAATTATTTATTACCTACATGGCCAACATACCTTTCAGCATCTTTGGGAAGCGAAAAAAAAAGATAAATCCGGTAGATTACTTTTCGAATTTAAACACCCGAACGCCGCACAATATTTCTTTCTCTTTATGTCCACTTTTAAATAATACTTCGATCATAGAATTATAATCATACTACAACGCATGCCAGCGTCCTGACGGGCGCGCGCGTGACACTCGACTGATATAATACCCGCCGGCGGGGCGCTTCGCTGTAGGTAATTATCGGATGTACCGCGCAGAGTGAGCCAGGCCTGCTATAGGTTAAGCCGCCCCTCTAGAATAAACCCAAGAGCTAAGAAAACTTTTTACAGATATAATTTGTAATGGGTGGCACTGCTCAGTTTACTCTTGTTTTTATTTTTTTCTTCTTCCATTATTATGGGCCACTGTCATGTCTATGTAATTGCCTGTATTTGTATGATGTTCATTATTATAAATGTATCTTTCTTTCTTTAAAAAAAAAACTTGAAAATAGAAAGAGCTTCGCTCTGGTCTTAGATTGGCGAGTTGCTGTCTCTTGTGTCACAGGGTAACGGGACTATTCCCACCTCTCATTCCCACCGTTATTCGTTAAGATGGAACAAACGAAAGAAGATGGACACGGGAATGGGACCACATGCACCGTTTACTACATTGGTATTATTTACTGGGTAAAATATTTGCTACCTTTGCCAAAAATTGAAATAAACCAAAAAAATAAAATGGTCACCAATTCTGATGTCAGGTTGGCTGACAACTTTCTCGACAAATATAAAAGTAGGGTCTTACCTCTAGGCTTCATCGTGACGCTATCTTCGTACCAGCTGTGGTTGCCGATGTATGCAAACTCATAGTAGAATACCTTGCGCGGCGAGTGGCGGCACATCAGGTTCGCCATCCTGAAGATATGAATATCATTACTGTAAATTATGAAAAATCTAAAACGTTAAAATTACGGTATCGTTGTGGCCAATGAAATGCTGTCATAGTGACATTGACGTAATGTCAATGTCACGCTAGAATCAAACGTGAGAATAGAGGGACGCGCGGAGACGATCCCCCGCGCTTTTGATGCTATGTGATAAATTGTATGTAAAATAAGGCAATATAGTGTGAAAGTTGAGTATTCAGTGTTTTATTTATGAAAATAAATCTACCTGCCTCTAATATTACTTAATGATACGCATAAAACCGTTCCAGCCCATACAATGTGTATAGCTGATAAGCGAACAATAAAAGGAGGCTGACAATAGTGACTGAGTTTCTTGCGCTGCTTCTTCTCAGCACTGGCCCATTTATTGTCCCGAAGCAGTGGTAGGGTTAATACTGGGACGTGTAAAAGTGCTTTTTAAAAGCCTATTTGCAAAAATAAATAAGTTTTATGAGTTTTTACCTGTGCGTGTTAAATCCAACTATAGCATCTCCGTATATCTTCCCCAAGGCGAAAGCGCTTTTGTCGTCGTTCTTTAGCGGCCACTCCTCAAGGTATGCGTCCTTCAGTCTGTTGGCAACGAGAGATGCGTTCTCCTTTGGAAGTTGGAAAGAGATGGGCGCTATCTGTTCCCACTCCGCGTTCATTCGCGTTAGTAGAGTCTCGTTTCTGACAACATCTGGAATAAATACAATAATTTTAAAGTTCAATAGACTATATATACTACATCCAATGATGACTGAAATATGGACTGGTTTGAAAGATGGGGTGTCAACACTTCTAGTGGGTTTGACCTAAGAGTTATAAATAGAGGAAACAAAAGTAGTTGCTTAATAATAATTGGTCTTGACACAGCTGCAGCAGTGTTAGCGACATAAATATTATTCTTCTGCCTCGCCTTATCCCGTTACGAGGGGTCGGCTTTTCCAATCATTCGCCGCGATTTGATTCTACCTTGAACGTCTTGTTCATGGAGTCCCAACACTGTCATGTCCTTTTGGACATTCCACCAGGGGCTAACGACTTTATGATGAATAAAAAACATTCTGTTTTGGAAGGGATGCCAGTTATTCTAATTCGAAGGCTGAGTTTTTCGCTTCTATGTACTTGTAGGTAAATAATAATAAAAATGATTTGATTTGATAGTAGCTGGCAGTGATGTCTCAATTATTAAAGTATCTTGTGCAGAGTTGCACTATCTTATTTCAATTGTAACAGTAACATTATCCGGTGCTTTTTGTATGGAGTTTGACAGATTTTTGACGTTTGGCAAAGTTAAAGTAAAATGGTACAACTCAGCCTATAGCCCAAAAAGTGATAATAAATTTTCAATAAATAACCTAATGCAGCATGAGAAATTCTGATCTTGGATTGTAATACAACCCAATGCAGAGGTCGCTATAACTCACTGAAAGCATTCCAGAAGAACTCGTCGGTAGTCTGGCTGATGATGTGCGGGACGGCGTGCATTTTCCCCTCACGGATGGCATCCGCTGGTTGGATGGCTAAGAACCGCTCCTGACCGAAGTCCAGCTCCACTACCGGCTGCCAGATGCCCACTGGGTCCCAGCCGAATTGCTATATAAACAGATTTATTTATTTTATCCATATACTCACGTCCGAAATACCACAGTGTCTCAAGTCGAAAGTAACTATTTGACCAATGCGTGTTGCCAGTGATGGTATACGGATCTGAGACGTGGTCGCTTACTATGGGTCTCATAAGAAGGCTCAAGGTCACCCAAAGGGCGATGGAGCGGGCTATGCTCGGAGTTTCCCTGCGTGATCGAATCAGAAATGAGGAGATCCGCAGGAGAACCAAAGTAACCTACATAGCTCGCAGAATTTCTAAAATCAAGTGGCAGTGGGCGGGGCACATAGCTCGTAGAGACGATGGCCGTTGGGGCAGGAAAGTTCTCGAGTGGCGACCACAGGCTGGAAGACGTAGCGTGGGCAGGCCTCCTACTAGGTGGACCGACGATCTGGTAAAGGTCGCGGGAAGAGCCTGGATGCGGGCAGCGCAGGACCGTTCATTGTGGAAAACCTTGGGGGAGGCCTTTGTCCAGCAGTGGACGTCATTTGGCTGAAACGAACGAACGATCCACAACGAGGATGCTCTTGGCCTGTATCTCACCTGATGGTAAGTGATGATCAGGCCGAAGGTGGAAGCGAGCTTCACCTCAACCACAGAGGAACTGGCTATCTTATCTTTAACTGCCGGAACACAATGCTGTTAACATTGTTGTTATGGCGACAGACTTAGGTAAGATGGTGGTAGCTAGCCAGGCGGACTTAGAACAAGCCCTATCACCAACCAAACCGAAAAGAAAAATCTGCCCCCACTGGGAGTCGAACCCGGCACCTCTGCGTCTGAAGCAGGTGGTCTTACGACTAGACCACAGAGGCTTTGGTGTTGTTCTTGTTGGTTTTATTTATTCTACTTAATTTTTCCAAATTATTCAGCCGGTGGAATAAGAGAACACTCATCGTCAAATACTTCGCGTCTCCCGAACGGATAAAAGTTGTTAATAACACCTTATCGAGTTGAAGTTTAAAACCTAAATCTTGGTTAACGGGATTATTACTATTACCAACTCTCGTTCCTCATGCAGCTTGATCGCTAATAAAAATCCAATTAGTGAAGGCCAAGTTTGTCCCGAGGGACAGTAAGATGATATTGGATACGAAATGAAATTAATCCGAAGACAATCTTGGTAGAACAATCCGATCGAGCTAACTGTCACCTCACTTGAATGCGAGTCTCCCTTCCATTTACTCGTAAGTGCATCTACCCGCGTTCGTTTCGTTCCATCCGTACCCGAGCGTCGATGTGACGTCATGGCTGCCAGAGTAGTGCCAAGTTAACTCAATCGGGTTGTTTTTTTTTTAAATCGAAAGTTATAAACAATGAGAGCAAGGTATCTAAGTACCCTTGTTAACTGTAAGTACATAATGTTACAGTCAAAATCGGTCAAATTCAGTCAAAAGTGGTTTTGACTGATGCCCTTGGTCAATATCGCTTTTGACTGAATTTTCCAGTCAAAAGTGGTTTAGACCAAGCGCTGATTTACGCACTCAAAACCACTTGAGTGCAAAAATCAGTCATAAGTGGTTTTGATCGACTATGAGTTTTGACTGTAACTCATACCTACACACAAATTGAGATGGTAATTTGATAAATGAAATGTCTTCTTACATAAAATCCAAACAGCGAGTTGCCCAGCTCTCTATAGCTCTTGGACTTGAGGCAGTCGATGATGACAGAGGAGTTGTCGTAGGGACAGTTGAGGATCTGAGCCTGCTTTACAGCAAGGTCAAATTGGTGGTGGAACAGCGGCTCCTTGCCGATGGGAGAGCCGCTTATGGAGATGCCTCGATGGAAGAGACCTGGTTATAAATCAAATCAAATCATTTATTTTCATTACATGTGTGGTTTGACAGTTATAAGTATAAAAAGAGTTGTAACCAGAACAGGTCTGTTTTGTGGAAAATATTTAATCTTATGCTGATATTTAAGGTTCTGACTTCGGGTATGCTCGTGCGGTAACTGCAACTGACGTCATATTCGGGTTCGCCGACCACGTATTTAACCAAGATGCCAAAATGATTGTTAGATCCTCATATCATCATTACAGGTCATTTGGTTACTGCTGAAGGAGTGTACTTGTTATCATCATCATTTCAGCCGGACGTCCACTGCTGAACATAGGCCTCCCCCAATGATTTCCACAATAGCCGGTTGGTGGTGGCCTGCATCCAGCGCTTTCCTGCTAAGTACTTTTATGAGGTCGTTGGTTCACATTGTGGGTGGACGTCAGCGCCCATCTTTTTTTACTAGAACCAAATGGAGAATTTGATGTAAAAACCTATTCAGGCCAGTCAGCTTGGACAGTTCAGCTTATCCCTTGGTCATCTCATACGACATCCACGGAAAGAGTGTAAGTGGTCCTATTCTATCAGTCCTATTTTGTTTATTTTTTATTTATATTAACCGGCAGGCAGTGGTGACTGGGTTTGTTGCGGCGCTTCTTCTCAGCACTTGCCAAATATAGGAAAGGTTGGTGTACTAAGGTTTCTGGACCATTTGGCCAGGATAATTATTTTGATCATTTTAATTACTATGATCATCAGATTTTTGGTCACTTTACCACTGCAGGATATGACCGACAATCTCTAACTTACCTGGGCAAATGGAGGATTGGACTCCTTACACTGGCCAAATGGGTTGGGAAAACTGATGTTTTTTGTCCCATGGTCATCTCTTTCGACATCTACGGGAAGAGTAGAAGTCGTCTTATCCTGCCTATCTGTATTCAGTATACATTAGTGTTTAGTTTAGTGTGTAATAATTAGCAGGCCTCCCACTAGGTCAGTCTTTCCCAAAGTGGGCGATAACGCCCCCTTGTGGGCGCTGCAGCTTAAAGGGGGGCGGTAAGAGACCCAGAAAAAAAATCGGGACGTTGTGTAGAGGCTTGGGAGGCGTCATCTACTAGGAGGACTCTTAGACACCGACTGAGCTCGAATCTTGACTACAAAAATGGGGGGCGCTAAAAAATAATTTATTCTCTAAGTGGGCAGTAGACTAAATAAGTTTGTTAACCGCTGCACTAGGTGAACCGACGTGCCGGTGTAGAACCTAGATGCGGGCAGTGTAGGACCGTTCGTTGTGGAAATTCTTGGGGGAGACCTTTGTCCAGCAGTGGACGTTGTTTGGCTGAAACGAACGGACGGAAAAGACATTAGTGTTTTAACTTACCTTTGGACATAGGCGAGATCATGTGCAGCAGAACACTAATAGAGCCCGCACTGACTCCCGTGATGGTGACCAAGTTGGGGTCCCCGCCGAAACCCCTGATGTTCCTCCGCACCCACTTCAGGGCAACCACCTGGTCTTTGAAGCCGTTGTTGCCGGGGGCTAACTCATCGCCAGTGCTGAGAAAACCTGGGATAGTCAATTAGTTTTAGATACGGAAACATTTTCATTACTACTCCAACTACTTACTTTGTAACCAAGATCTAGATCTCGCTTAGAAAATAGTCAGTGATTTCTCTCCATGCATTGCATGTTGGTGACTAGCAAGTAACAAATTTAAAAAATCATTAATTTCTGATCAGTTTACGAATAAAGATTAAGGAGTTGAAGGTGATCTAAGTAAGGCCAGCTAACTTGGGGTGGGGACCCTCTTAATTAATATTAGAGTTCTACTTGATTGCCAAAACAATGAATTGATGTTATGGTGGTAAGATTTGAGAGCTTTTGTTGTACGATTGAGTCCCAGACGGCATTAATTAATGTCATAACAATTGATTATCTATTGTGTCTAGATTCGCGGACCTTGAAGGATTAAGTAAATCCAACCCACAGCTCCAGAATGACTAGGTATTTGCCGTAAAATACTGCTAGTATATGGGCTAAACCATTGCTCTACTATAGGCTAAAACTACTCACCAAGCGAGCCCAGCCTGTAGTTGATGGTGACGAGCACTAGATCCTTGTCCAGCAGATAGTGCGGGCCGGCCACGTCGCTGCGGCCCGTCATCGAGTAGAAGCCGCCCGGGTGGATGAAGAACACCACTGGTAGCGGCTTGGATCTATGCCATACAATAACGATTAAGGCCCAGAATCNAGTCCTAAGGCACCCCCTGGTACCCCCCAGGATTTTGGGGTTACCACCGATTCGAAGATTGAAAGAATCGACCGCAGATATGCAGATGTGCCAGTGAGTACTTATCTGCGCGACTTGTGTCACCCCCTGACGCTTGGCACCCGGGGCGGACCGCCCCCCCCTTACGCCGCTACTGCCCAGAACAGACGATGAAACGCAACTGCAACGAAACTGCAACTTTCTGATGATTCTGATGAATGAAACTGAAACTGAAAGTTTCAAACTGGTCGCGTCATGTGTGGTCTCTCAACGGACGCTATGGCAGAAACTTAGATGCAACTCAAAAGTAACTAGCAGTTGCAGTTTCGTTTCACCGTCTGTTCAGGGCCTAAGGGACCCCCACACTAGCTTCAACAACAACAAGTCAAGTTTTTTTGCGAGACAATCTTGGGCTGCAAAGGATATTCGTGTGAATGATAAGAATTAAAACACGTTTACTACTATACACCGTGAAATATTAGTGGTTGTTTTCCCGCGGCAGAATGATATTTACCTTTAGTAGTACTATCGAATCGTGCGAGTTATTTTTGAAGAAACAATAGTCTTTTTTACAAAATGTGACGTAAGTATTTGGATACTGCCTGCCTCACGAAATCAATATTTAAAGTAAAAGAAGCTCTCGCACTATGTAGGTAATACCATAATACCTACAGCATAAACTGAATCGCACACGCTCCGTCAGGCAATTTTTTAATTTGAATTAAAAAAAACTTCCTTAATCCATTGTACTAGTAAGATAGAATCATTTTACTGCGGGAAAACAACCACTAACATTTCACGGTGTATAGAAGGGATCTGCAAGAAACAAGATGTCTTAGTGGAAAAGAACCCTAAACCAATAGCGTTGCATTCTTGTCCAGAGTGTGTCCCTACTCCCTATGCATTTAAAAGTATCGGAAAACGAAAGTGATAAAAATAACATTTAAATTGGTAATTAATTAGTTACCTAAAGAAAATAATTGTTCCTTATTTATGATGTTTGGACTGATAAGGAAAGTGACTGATATTTTCCTGCTGTGCGTCAATTAAGTACCTAGATATAAAGTGGGTCATGAAGTAAGTAATAAATCATTAGGAAGGTATAGGTAGGTACCTACATGTAAAAAGAACAAACGATAAAAGGAGATTCTGCTAGTGAAAATGCTATTAAGTAGGTAGGTACTGCACTTATCTTGGTTTTACTTAATTTTTCTGAGTTGAGTGTTGCTTAGATACGCGTCGCTTACGCCTCCGTCTTGACTGATCAACACTTTCCACAAAGTGCGATGTAAGCCAAGAGTAGGTACACTACCGAAACTACGGCGTATTTAGTGTTGACGATATTGCTACAAACCTATGGCTCCTAGGGGTGTAGACGTTGATGGTAAGACAGTCTTCGTCGACGTAGTAGTCATCGGGTGCGATGAGCGGGCACGCGGGGCCGTCGTCACTTGCGTTCACTTCGCCCTTGTAAGATAGGATGGGCTTGGGAGGCTGCGGACATAGTAGGCATATTGCTAGAGAACATTATCCATACTAATATTATAAATGCGAAAGTAACTCTGTCTGTCTTGCTTTCACGCCTGAACCACTGAACCGATTTTGATGAAAGGCATAGAGATAGTTCGAGTCCCGGGAAAGGACATAGGATAGGTTTTATCCCGGTTTTTGAAAGAGACGCGCGCGATAAAGTTTTTCTGTGACAGAAAAAATTCCACGCGGGCGAGCCGCGGGCGGAAAGCTCGTAAAATCATATTATACTCTAAAGCAGTGTTCCTATGACCACTGTACACTACTGCTCTAGAGTCTAGTTCTAGACTTCAAATCAAATCAAATCAAATTTCTTTATTTGCGTAATTCCAGGTACATAAGTGGTCTTACATAGATTTGGTAGGTTTCACTGAAATTTGCTCAAACTAGGTTATGATACTCAGTATCTCGGCCAGAAAGGAGCAGAAAACTGCAGAAAGGGGTCCGGGGGTACCAAAGGGGGTCCATTAAAAAAACACTTAATTTTTTTTTTTCGAAAATAGCAAAAAACATAGCGATCAAAAAAAGGTTAGCCTGTATCTCGGTATCAGTGCAAGGATATCATGAGGTACCTATATGGGAGACCACAATTAGTTTTACTTTGAAAACAAGATCAGTTGTTATGTTGTTGAAGGTGGTGTAGGATAAATAGATCTTTACTGATAGTTTGACATTCTGACCGATGGGATATTTTTATCCTTACCAAATAACAAATTCAACAATCAAAATTAAAATCGAACAATTATTATACAAGGAAAAACAGATCTACCTAACCACTTATACCCACTCGTTTGAAATCTAGACTAAGTAGAACTCGCTCCACTGGAAAGATCCGGATCCCAGACATCAAGGTTGATAATACCTGAATTCTACCAACTACCAACTTTGTGAAATAAGTCACCTGGAACCTCAATTTCCCAACAGGCGGCTCAGCATACTTGATGCCCCGGTACGCCTCGAACTGACGTCCCCGCCGTGACGTCATCCATGACCCTCGGAACTGGCCCGAGGGCGACCTGACGAGGGGACCCTCATCGGACGGGCCGTGCTCTATGGTGGAAAAACGGCACTGCAGTAGGTAAACAGTTTGACAGGAAAAGTCCTGGCTGATCCTTCAATAGATGACCAGCTACAAAACCTCTACGTCGTCAGTTGATCGATCTACTTATTAGTATGGGAAAATTAATTAGATTTTAATCATTCCAGCATTTGTTTGTATAACGGCATATCTAAATGTCAGTAGGCATCCTTATTGCCAATGAATAACTATAAATACGAGTAATACATTCTGCATAGCATTTATGAAATACAAATTAAGTAGGTACCTATATTATAGAAATCGTAATGTCTTGAGGTTTGCTTTGTTCTTTTTCAGGACAATTACTTATAGTGGATTTTTTAAAATTGTTTTTTCCTGGAAATCCTAAGGGCTTCAGTTTGCTATTGGAACCTAAACTTTTCTCCCTACAATTTACGTCACTTTTTTATTTACCTCCATGTTTCTTCTCCGCATGACTCTTGCACGCGCTCGCGCACGCCAGCACGACACAAAACAACACACTCGCGCGCCACATCACGTCTAGTACTGCGCGCGCAGTTTGCAAGTCGCTTTATATGACCACTTGCACTTGTAAGGTGCGATGCACAGTGCCAGTATTTTTCGAGATTGTTTTCCCTGTGGGCTACCGTCTTATGGTCCTGTAAGACGAGAAATTGATTGGAGGAATGCAGTAGCGGCGTAAGGGGGGGGCGGTGGGGGCGGTCCGCCCCGGGTGCCAATCATCAGGGGGTGACACAAGTCGCGCAGATTAGTACTTACTGGCGCATCTGCATGGCAAATCTGCGGTCTATGTCATGATACGTCATCGTACCCCGGTACGATACGATTGTCTTTCAATCTCCGAATCGGTAATCCCAAAATCCTGGGGGGTACCAGGGGGTGCCTTAGGNGGGGGGGGGGGGGGTGATCGCCCCGGGTACCATGCTACGCCGCCACTGGAGGAATGGATAGATCCTGAAAATTAGAGTTGTAAGGTAGAGCGGCGTAGCGTAAAATTAATTTACCTTCAATTTTAATGTGTATGTAGATAGTATTACCACAGAATAATAATAAGTATGGTATTACACGCATCGCATCTAACTTGGAATCAGGTCTTCTGATTAGATCAGATTATCTAACGTTGTTTTTGAGGGTCACCCGTTTTTGGGGAGACAAAGTGTGCCCCCAGTCCCTACCTTACAGTAAGTCGACTCTTATTTTTAAAGATTGTTAACGAAGCGTGACTCATGCATGTGCAAATGCGTTTATATCAACATAATAGATAGCAAATAATATTTGTTTTACCTTTTTTAATTGTTAAGTACTTTCTTTCATTGTTATGGTGGCATTTTAACGTTCTTTGTGCTGAAATAAAAAACAACTCTAGCACTGAGAGAGTACCTACTTACATGTCATTGGTGTATTTAGGGTCATTTTTATGGGGGCCTTTATATGAAACATGCCATGAATTGGGGGTAGGGCTGGGGGGTGCCATTGGTAACAGTTACTACTATCATATAATGGGGGGGGGGGGGGCACCAGATCATCTGGGGTATGGACCACTAGCGCATGGTAAAGCAAGAAGTTGCTTGACATAGCATAAAAGACATTGCTATGACACGAATCACTATTTCTGTACCCTATGCGTGACGCAGGGGAGTATTCCGATGATGCACTGAAGTCAAGAATGAGTCCTTACCTACCAACCTGTCATCAGGATGAATAAAGGAAGAAACCAATTACGACCGTAGGTAATTGTGGTTTCACCGGTTAATGTTAAATTAGCTTTATTAGTAATGTTGTTTATTATTACTCACTCTCGGAAGCAATACCTACACCTTTTTTATCCACAACGAGGAAGCTCTTGGTCTGTATCTCACCTGATGGTAAGTGATCAGGCCGAAAGAATTTAATAAGCATCGCTATCTACCTACTTAAGTATCGAGATCCCTTATAAATAACATAACAATTGCTGGCTAGCAAAGACACTAACTATCACAGCATAGCAATGAAAGTACAAATAAATGTACAACTAAGAGTGATTCTGCTATTCCGATAGAATTTGGTGTACAAAACCAGGATACCAATTTTGTCTTTTGAACGACTACTATAATCAGAGGTAGGTACGTCTACTTATTAGTTTTACTTAAATCATCCCCGTTTGCTAAGAGGCCATTCCCACTTAAGTATTTGGTTGCTTTACACTCTACATTCAATGTCGACTTTACCGTTTCTTTTACTTTGCGTGTATTAAAAGATAGCACCCGACGCATTAGCGGATTTTCCACGCCACAGTTGTTGAGGAAAATATCAAGTTCATTAATGCGCTCCGTTGAACACTCTTAGCTCATATTGTATTCGAAAATAAAGCTTGTTGTTATTAGGTATTCTTTAAACGTAGGTACTTAATGGAATAAGAAGTTAGTTGGGTTACTTCTAGTAGTCTCTTTGTATTTTGGCGTGAAAATCGTCTCCTAATCAAAAATACCTCTAGTTCTTAGGTTACCGAATACAACTCAATCAATATAAAATTAAATTATCTGTTTAGTAGATTTAATTTATAGGTGCAATGATTGACTGAGTCAGTGCTTTTTTTCTTCTTTTGTTTGGACTGAGGAGCGGCGCGGGACGGGCGATATTGACATGACGTGTAAGATCATACAATTCTGAAGTCAGGTCAGGCACTGACTATTAAGCACTAAGACCTATAGTAGGTAGATTTATTTCTCTGCCCCTACATAGTATATTAATTAAAAACAAAGCCCCCCTTCCTTACAATCTTTCATCTATTTTAAGTATTACTAATAAAAAATATGTACATTCCCATGTTAAATTCATTAAGCACCACTCTATAAAACTTTAAACTTATATTTTATATATTAAATTTATGTATTTTATACGACCTCAACCGCACCTAATATCCCAAGCCCAAGTCCCATCCCACTTGGTCCCTCTTCTTAACTCGTCCCACACTCACATGAAAATGGCACAAATCAAGTCGGCCTCGACGAGTATTGCCAAGAACAAAAAAGAAGAAGAAATAAAAATATAATACGCTATCCACTACATTATCTACTTACTCCACATCTACATTATACTATCTACTCTAGAAGTACACTACTTTTTTTTTTTTTTTTTTTATACACAACGAGGAAGCTCTTGGCCTGTATCTCACCTGATGGTAAGTGATGATCAGGCCGAAGGTGGAAGCGAGCTTCACCCGGAATCCTCAACCACGGAGGAACTGGCTATCTTACCTCTAACTGCCGGAACACAACAATGCTGTTAACATTGTTGTTATGGCGACAGACTTAGGTAAGATGGTGGTAGCTAGCCAGGCGGACTTAGAACAAGCCCTACCACCAACCAAACCGAACAGAAAAATCTGCCCCCACTGGGAATCGAACCCGGGACCTCTGCGTCTGAAGCAGGTGGTCTTACCACTAGACCACAGAGGCGGTTAGACTTACCTACTTTATTAGTATACTTACGAATAATATCTAATTTAAGTTTTACTGATACTTAGGTACTTTACACTTACTTAGGTCTGTTAGGTTTACCAGTATTCACACTCACCAGTATTCTGGTAGCATGTATGGCGGGATGGGGTCAGGATATTGGTTAGCTTGGGCATTCTATTAGAAAAAATAAAAATAAACTTGCACATTTATTTCATACACAATGTAAATACAATTTTAATCTTATCAATCATATCACAGCAATTCAGCTTATTAATCTTAATACATTTTTTGATTTTTGTTAAAAATAGTGCATACAAAAAACAATTTTCATTTTTAACCGTTGAATGTCACTTTCTGTCATTTACACACTATTTTCTTACTTCCCTAATTATTTAATAGTACCTATTGATGGGGTCGGGAGGTGTAGTTTAGGTAGGTAGGCCTCCCATAATCCGATTCGATGGACCGACGACGTGGTGAAAATCGCAAATGTGGCATCGGCATCAAGCCCTTGCTGACCGTGGAAATCCTTGAGGGAGGCCTTTACATGTGAACATGTTTTGGTTGAAAAGATGTTATAGGATAGTATCAGTACGGAACTTTATAGACTGGGGTGAGTAAACGGTCAGTAAGGGATAATAAACTTTATAATGGGGAAAACATACTGGCAAGTTTGTATCAGCAAGAAATCTCAATATGATAGAATGGGGTGAAATAAAGTAAAGTTCGAGTCACTAGAGTATAGTCAACTTTTTAAAAAGGGTTGAACATAGGCACTGGTTTCACTAGACTACTAGATCAAATGGGGTGAACATACTGCAGCATTGATCTTGACTGTGACTTATAAAATGGGGTGAGCATACTAAAGTCCGGTCGCCGAGCAGATAGAATTTCGTGCAATGAGCCCAAGCTACCCATCCTTATCGCTCGCGCGTAATTGTATTGCTATCGCGCTCGCACAGTCACTGCGGCCGCCCGTCTCTCAGTCGCAACCGCAATATAATTACGCGCGAGCGAAAAGAATGGGTAGCTTGGGGTCATTGTACAACATTCTATCTGTTCGACGACCGGACTTTAATAAGTTTGAGTTACTAGAGGATAGATCGGCAAGACTTGGAGCGATATCAAGCGCGAAGCTCAAGACCGAACGAGATGGAGGACTGTTGTGGACGCCCTCTGCCCCATCTAGGGGACATAGGACCTTAAGTCAAGTCACTAGAGGATAGTTAACTTTATAGAAATGGGTGAACATACTGCAACACCTATCTAGTTCTCTATAGGATACAGGCGGTTCCACACGCGGAAGCGGTGTTCGAACAAGTTCTCGCGTACATCGAGCGAGGACCCGACTCGCAGGTAGCGGCTTATAAAATGGGGTGAGCATACTAAAGTCCGGTCGCCGAGCAGATAGAATTTCGTGCAATGAGCCTAAGCTACCCATCCTTATCGCTCGCGCGTAATTATATTGCTATCGCGCTCGCACATACACTGCGGCCGCCCGTCTCTCAGTCAATATAATTATGGTCGTTGCTCAGATCATAGAAAGAGAATAGATATGAAGTCGCGCGTAACTACAACGAGAACCAGTGTCCCCACATTTCCCCCACCACAGCTCCCACACACACATTCAACTGTGTAAAAACAAAGCGACTGAGACTGTCTACGACAACATGTGTACGTAGTACGTAATTATATTGACTGAGAGACGGGCGGCCGCAGTGTCTGTGCGAGCGCGATAGCAATATAATTACGCGCGAGCGAAAAGGATGGGTAGCTTGGGGTCATTGTACGACATTCTATCTGCTCGGCTACCGGACTTTAATAAGTTTGAGTTACTAGAAGATGGTTAACTTTATAGAAATGGGTGAACATACTGTTATATTGAACTAGTTCTCTATAGGATACAGCTGATTCCACAAGACAGAAGCAATTTTATAGAAAGGGTTGAATATATGGGTTGAATATATGGGTGAATACCACCATAGGTGTTCAAGTATTTTGTTATGGGACAGCAGGACCAGAAGACAAAGCCATCTGATGGTAAGTGATTACCGCCGCCCATATACATCCTCAGTCCTAAAGGGAGTTACAGGTGCATTGCCGGCCTTGAAAGTATGAAACAGATATAGTCAACTTTATAGAAAGGTGTGAACATATTGCAGCATTAAAACCGCTAGTATCACTAGTACTCTATGGAATACAGGCGATTCCACACGCGGAAGCGGTGTTCGAACAAGTTCTCGCGCACATCGAGCGAGGACCCGACTCGCAGGTAGCGGCGCGTGGCGGGCGTCATGGCCGGCCAGTGCAGGCTGTTGTTACTACTATAATATCTCAATAATCTATACAAATACGAACATTTTGACCTTGACTTTGACTTATAAAATGGGGTGAGCATACTAAAGTCCGGTCGCCGAGCAGATAGAATTTCGTGCAATGACCCCAAGCTACCCATCGTTTTCGCTCGCGCGTAATTATATTGCTATCGCGCTCGCACAGTTACTGCGGCCGACCGTCTCTCTATCGCGACCGCAATATAATTACGCGAGAGCGAAAACGATGGGTAGCTTGGGGTCATTGTACGACATTCTATCTGCTCAGCGACCGGACTTTAATAAGTTTGAGTTACTAGAGGATAGTTAACTTTATAGAAATGGGATGAACATACTGTTATATTGAACTAGTTCTCTATAGGATACAGGCGATTCCACACGCGGAAGCGGTGTTCGAACAAGTTCTCGCGCACATCGAGCGAGGACCCGACTCGCAGGTAGCGGCGCGTGGCGGGCGTCATGGCCGGCCAGTGCAGGCTGTTGTTACCACTGTACTATCTCAATAGTCTATACACATAACGAACATTTTGACCTTGACTTTGACCTATAAAATGAGCATACTGAAGTCCGGTCGCCGAGCAGATAGATTTTCATGGACCCCAAGCTACCCATCCTTATCGCTCGCGCGTAATTGTATTGCTATCGCGCTCGCACACTCACTGCGGCCGCCTGTCTCTCAATCGCGACCGCAATATAATTACGCGCGAGCGAAAAGGATGGGTAGCTTGGGGTCATTGTACGACATTCTATCTGATCGGCGACCGGACTTTAATAAGTTTGAGTTACTAGAGGATAGATCGGCAAGACTTGGAGCGATATCAAGCGCGAAGCTCAAGACCGAACGAGATGGAGGACTGTTGTGGACGCCCTCTGCCCCATCTAGGGGACATAGGACCTTAAGTCAAGTTACTAGAGTATAGTTAACTTTATAGAAATGGGATGAACTTGAACATACTGTTATATTGAACTAGTTCTCTACAGGATACAGGCGGTTCCACACGCGGAAGCGGTGTTCGAACAAGTTCTCGCGCACATCGAGCGAGGACCCGACTCGCAGGTAGCGGCGCGTGGCGGGCGTCATGGCCGGCCAGTGCAGGCTGCCCAGCTCGGAACTGCTGCCTGACGGGTTCGGGTCGCTGTGGACAAAGAAGATTTCATTATTATCATCATCACGTCATTTATTATAAGCACGTCCCTATAGGCGTATCTGGAGTTGTTGCTATATAAACATTTGCCAAATGATAATAATTTGACCAAAGGAATTAGTTGCAAAAAGTACAGTTGCTAAAAGTTCATTTGGGAAATGAAACTTTGGCGATAAGTTGTTTGCGAAGTGAAATTTGGCGAAAAGTAATTTGGCCAAACGGAAGGATACCGTTGTCCGATACGCAAACCACAACACTTGGTACCGTAACATTTATCCCTCAGCCCTCATGAGGTTGAAAGGTTGCTGAACTTGATCCGATTAGTATCTAGCACATGTTTGTATTATTAACTATCATCTTCAAATCGGTAGCCCAACATCCATGTGCATGCCACCCCGGTACACATGAATGTAATTACAAACAAAAATAGAAATACAATTTTAACTATTACCTACTTAATTAGTAAAAAACCTTGTTCAAATATCTAAAGCTTTCAAGACGGCGCTTGTTACCGCCCGCACCACCCCCGCGTGCCCCGCTTCACCGAGCACACGCGGCCGCCCCGGGAGAGCGGGGGGACTGTATAAACCTTCCATGAAACTTGTTTGTGTTATTTGCCGAGAGATGTCACTGCTCTTTGAGACGCGTAAAGCTGTACCGCGGTGTCCAGATTTTTTTCCCCGGCTTTATATACCTGGGCGGCTTTGACATAATTAATCTTTGTGAACCATTGACAAGCTTATAAAGCAATAAATTGTCACCTACATATTGACGTCTTATTTAAACCTAGATAAGAGTCCCATAAGTGCGCCGAGAGTATCCGTGGTCTATTCAGGGACTGACCGATAGCTCGCCCGCGTAATAATACCATTTTCCTGATTTCATGGACTTTTCCGTGAAAAGGGGTATTTTTATATTTTTTTGGCATCAGTGTCTTGTATACTAAAGCCTGGTCCGTGAGCACGTAGAATCCCGTCCAATGACCCCAAGCTGCCCATCCTTGTCGCTCGCATGTAATTATGTTGCTGTCGCGCTCGCACACTCACTGCGGGCGCCCGTCGCACAGTCGCACGTCGGTCATTGGACGGGATTCTACGTGCTCACGGACCAGGTTTTACCAGTTACCACCCTTGAGATGGGCGTAGTTTTACAAAGCCACACCCTGTATTTGTCAGAGTAAATTGACTTTACGTTACTTGTAAATATAGATCAATAAATAACTCACCCATTCCTGGCGAAGTTGTAGTACAGAGCCGTCATCTTGTCGACGACGTGCGAGTCCTTGGTATCGGCCGCCGGTATGAGCGGGAAGGCGGCCGGCAGCGAGAACAGATAGATCAGATCGTCGTGGTGCGCCGCCTCTGTGAGGGAATGGGAGATCAGGCATTGCTCTCTCTCTCTCTCGAAATAGGAATCAGATAATAAAGTTACTTGGGTGGTAGCAAGGCGACACCCCACTCGATCGATGACGCAACGCCGAGGAGGTTTTAGTGGGTATACCCCGTCCTTTTCAGGACGGAGCAGCGCCCTTTTCAAGGCGTCGGGAGTCTCACACACCACAATGTCCCCCGGCAATGGTGACAGTGCGCAAAGCATTTCCTCCGCGACACAAAAAAAAGGTACGATAACAACCTGCGAGAGACTTTTCGTACACGAAATAAATACCATTTCATAATAATAATAATTTGTTTCCAGTGAAATCCGAATACAACTTTATGTATTTCCAGATGATCACAAATAAGGATAGCTGTCAGTAGCTGGATAGAAATAGCGAGAAATTGTGCTTTTTTTGGCGCTTTTTAGAGTCAAAGTCAAAATTCCTTTATTTGAATGGATTCATACCTAAATAGTGCTAACAAATCGTAAAATAGAGGCTTGCGTCTCGAATCCATTCCAGGTAGTACGAGTAGTAAAAGAGGAGGGACAGAGGAGAGAGAAATAGGGATGAGAGCAGAAGACAGGGGGAGACAGAGAAAAGAAATAAAGTAGAAGAATTAGAATTTGCGCGCCCTTATGGCCAGTAGACTGACCTGGCTCACTGTGTCATCAGACTGTAGCTCGCCTATATAATAACCTGTCTGTCACTGTCTGATCAAACCGTCTCGACCAGAAGGGCGCGCAACCCTCATCAGGCATTGGTTCCCGCTGAAAACCAGCTTCTCGTCTCTCGTCATGTCGCGATTTTTGCTGAGCGGGCGCCTATTCAGCATAAAGTTTTTATTTATTTTTTATGTTTACTTATTCTTGCTTTGTATACCTTAAATTGAGCTGAATAAAGACATTATTATCTTATTCTTATTGAATCCAGAGGATAAAGAGGAGAGCACAGACGATAAAGAGGAAGATAGAGAGGGGAAGGAGACAGGAGAGACGAGAGAGAGAGAAAACAAAGGCACTCACTGACGGCACAACCGGTTTCGGGGTCGATGTAGTGGCTGCTGTTGCCGACGTGTGCGAACTCATAGTAGTACACTCTATGCGGCGAGTGCTTGCACATCAGGTTCGCCAGGCTACGAACAAAACGAATATACATACTGTCACAAAATTCAACGATAAGCCGGCGCCGTATGGTGGACATGGTCATGACTTATTTAGGAAAAATAAGAAAAAAATTAAGATATTTTTTCCTGTTTTGAGACAAATAAATACTTTCTATTCTATCTTATTCTATTCTAAAGTTAAACCAAGGAAGTTTTCCTAAACCTGAGGAAAAATAAAAGAATGAGATACATTTTTTCTTATTATTCCTAAAGTAGTCATGACTATGCCCTAGGGCGCCGGCTTATCGTTAAATTTTAGGACACGGTGTATAATATGAAATAAATAAGCAGTTACAAAGAACTATGTGTACCGAGTCTGAGGTAAGACAAACGCCTGTGATGGTGATTCATAAAACTAAATGATAAAATTAAGAATCTTCGAACCATACTTGCCGAAAAGGCCTAATTGAAAATATTGCGCATATCACTTTGAAACTGTCAAAGATTTTGTTATTACTAACTTTACTGAGATAGAAATCAAAAGAAGCGCTAGTGGCGACTATCGGTATTAGTAATAAGTGACAAATGTTTAATTCACTTTACGCACGCTTTTATCTCTTCTAAATACATAAAACCATGCATTCATTATTCATTCACTATTGCGGTAGGTACAGATGTCGCAAAGTTACGCAATTTATCCTACTAATATTATAAATGCGAAAGTTTGTATGGATGTCTGGATCTTTCACGCAAAAACCACTGAACGGATTTTGATGAAACTTCACAGTATTATTGTTTGTAATCCAGATTAACATATAGGCTATAATATAATTTATGCTGGTCTGTGACACTAAATTTCACGCGGGTGAAGCCGCGGGCAAAAGTTAGTAGGTACATAATAAAACACTCACCGATGAACTCCGAACCCAATGATCGAGTCTCCATACAGCTTCCCCAGTCCATCTGCGGTGAACGAATCATTCACTAACTGTCTGCCGCCCAAAAACTCTTGCCTTAACTTCTGTGCCTTTTCCGCAGCATTTTCCTTTGGCAGTATAAACGAGATGGGAGCAATTCGGTCCCATTCTTTGTCCATTGTAGTTGTGTACGTTTCATTTGCAAGGACATCTGTAATAATATGAAAATTGTAAAGAAATTCAAATTTCAAGGTGGAAATTGATTATTCGGTGTAACACTTTTTGGCGAAGTTTTCCTTGTATTTAATTTGGAGTTTATTTTCGTACGTGGGGACATGCGATAGTTATTTTTCACGGTGTAGGTATCGCCTGACCTTGTGAAGTCCAACGCTCTAGTAATTCTAACACAAATAAACAAACAACTCATTTTCCTCATCGTATCGTGAAGATTTGTACTAAAAAATAAAAAATAAAAATGCATTTATTGCCTTCGATCGATAGTCAAATTTTAATTTTGGTAGGTACAGTCGCGGAATGAAAAGGTTCGTCACCTTAGTATCGGTTTTCGCTTGCACTAGGTACTGTAAGAGTCAAACCTGCCAACATAACAGTGCAAGAAACAGTGCTGCTAACATTTAAATAAATATGACGTTTGCTAACGAATAAGGTTTTGCTTGTTTATTTTTCTATCCCATCAGTGCAATGCAATGATGACATTGACCAATTGACAATAGTTTTTTTTTATTTAAAAGAAATAAGAATGGCAGGTTGAACCAACAAGAAGGTTTTAGTTTGTCAATCATAATAATCTTCTTGACAAGATAAATCGTCAAACAACTTTGATCTGAATAATTTTGAACTTTACTGACGAACAGTTAAAGATTATTTTCTCTAACTCGAGATTATTCTGTAACATAGTTTCAAAAGGTAATATGTGCTCGCGATTCGTTGAAGGAATCAATTTGAAAACTGACGAACCTTTTCATTCCGTGACTGTACATAGAAATGGCATATACTCGTAGGACATGCATGAGCAATTTTTCGTCGCGAATTTTAAACTTGATGGAGTGAATAAAGGATGAAGGATGTGTGGATTTTTCATGTTGGAGATATGCTAAATTTTTTCTTATGTATTTGGTGATACCAAGTCATGTAAATAAATACCCTTGGGAGACCAAAATCCCCATAGGCGAAGTTGTCAAAGCTGGTTAATAAATCCGTTATCCTTATTTCCTTACAGGTCTTCGTCCTACAAAAAGTAAGTCCTTAGTCCGAGTACTCACCAAAGGCCTTCTAGAAGAACTCTCCAGTGGTCTGGCTGATGATGTAGGGCACCACGTGCATCTTAACTTGTTGCACTGCCTCCAAGAGGCTGCTGGCCAGTAGTTCTACAAGAAGTAATCCCTAAGTTCCAACCCTAGTACTCACTGAAGGCCTTCCAGAAGAACTCGCCAGTAGTCTGGCTGATGATGTACGGTATTGCTTGCATCTTGCCCTGCTGCAGTCTGCACAGTCTCTATCAGGCTGGTGGCCAGTAGTCCTACAAAAAGTAACCTCTAAGTAATCGTAGTACTTACTGAAGGCCTTCCAGAAGAACTCTCCAGTAGTCTGGCTGATGATGTACGGCACTGAATGCATCTTGCCCTACTGTACTGCTAGCAAGAGTTCCTACAAGAATAAGGTCTATAGTCCGAGTACTCACTGAAGGCCTTCCAGAAGAACTCTCCAGTAGTCTGGCTGATGATGTAGGACACCGCGTGCATCTTGCCCTGCTTTTTTTTTATGTGACAGGAGGCAAACGAGCAGACGGATCACCTGATGGTAAGTGATTACCGTCGCCCATAGACACCCGCAGACCCAGGGGCGTTACAGGTGCGTTGCCAAGATTGCCCTGCTGGACTAGCAGATTTCTATCAGGCTGCTGGCCAGAGTTCCTATAAGAATTAGGTCTATAGTCCGAGTACTCACTGAACGCTTTCCAGAAAAACTCTCCAGTGGTCTGGCTGATGATGTAAGGCACTGAATGCATCTTGCCCTGCTGGACCATTTCCAAAGGGCTGGAGTCTAGGAACCGCTCCTGGCCTACGTCGGGCTCGATGACGGGCGCCCACACCAGCACCGGGTCGTAGCCGAAATCCTGGGAAAAAACCGGTCTTTTAAAAAAAAAACAATCGGAATTATCGTACCATACTTTCCCGCCACTGTAACTCCTGTATAGCCAAGATCTACAGCTTGCCCTCCAATGAACTCCAACCAATTTTTTTTGTACTGGTTACTGAGTTTATTATGGGAGTTATTGGAGCAGAAAAGTTCTCGAGTGGTGACCATGGAACTGTAACCGATTGAGTCCCAGGACGGCATTAATTAATGTCATAACAATTGATTATTTATTGTGTCTAGATTCGCGGACCTTGAAGGATTAGAGGTAATATAGTCAGGAATTTCATACGTTGGAACGATCTGATTCAAGGTCATGGGAAGCACTTGGATGCGTACAGCACAGGATTGGTCATTGAGGAAATAATCAATTATGTAAACCCTGGTCTTCCTAATATAAATAAATAAATCCTTGAGGAAGGATTTTGTCTTGCAGTAGATGTCTTTTGTTTGAAACCAAAGGAAGATCAAGAGATACTCACAAACAACTTTCTTTGGATAGCTATTGGTGACTTTAAACCAGGGTTCGAGGATATACAGGGTGTCCCGTAATGTAACGTCAAGCCGGAACTGGGTGTTGAGGCAAGTTATGCTGGTTATCAGAAAAATATAAAAAAAAATCTATGTGGCATATTTTCAAAATAATGGGCATTTAAAAAAAATCAAAATTTTCTTTTCCAGGTGACGGTCNATGGCTTTCATACAAAATTGATATATATCAAAGTTGATATATATCGGATATAGGTATATCATAAATATCCGATATTTTGATATTTATAATAAATATCGGATATTTTCGAACCCTGCTTTAAACAGCTTTACAGAGACCAAGGGATACTCACGAAGAACCCGTCCAGCGTGTCAGCAATCTCCCTATAGTCCTTGGTCTTCAGGCAGTCGATGATCTCCTTGGATAGCTATTGGTGACTTTAAGCAACTCTACAGAGATCAATAGTCACAAAGACCAAGGGGTACTCACAAAGAACCCGTCCAGCGTATCAGCAATCTCCCTGTAGTCCTTGGTTTTCAAACAGTCGATGATCTCTTTAGAACTGGTGGTGGGACAGCCCACCAGTCTCGCCTGGCGCTCGGCTAACTCGCGCTGGTGGTAGCGCTCCGGGGCTTGCGATATAGGGGACTCGCTGATGGAGAAGAGATACTAACAAAGAACCCATATGGTGATTGCATTGGCGTCTTTGATTTTAAGTAAGTTGGTGATGGTACTGATGGTATTAGCGACAGTAATCAGCTTCACCGTCTAGAGAACCCTTTCTGTCAAAAACACTTACAAGGAGTCTGTACAGCGTTTTAACGGTCTCCCTGTAGTCCTCGGTCTTCAGGCAGCGGATGATGGTCTTTTTGTCAGTAATCAGCTTTACAGAGACCAGGGGACACTCATGAAGAAACATGCGTCCAGCGTATTGGCTCTCTTACTAAAGTCCTTGGTCTTCAAGCTGTCTAAGATTGCCTTGATATCTACCTTATGGATGGACAACTGGACACTTTATAAAGGTATATAGACCTGTAGACTCTGGCCTTTAGGCAGCCGATGATCTTCTTGGACAGCTATTGGTGACTTTAAGCAGCTCTACAGAGTTCAATAGTCACAAAGGCTAAGGAGTACTCACAAAGAACGCGTCCAGCGTGTCAGCAATCTCCCTATAGTCCTTGGTCTTCAGACAGTCGATGATCTCTTTAGAACTGGTGGTGGGACAGCCCACCAGTCGCGCCTGGCGCTCGGCCAACTCGCGCTGGTGGTAGCGCTCCGGGGCTTGGGATATAGGGGACCCGCTGATGGAGATCCCTCGGTGGAATAGACCTGGAAGTCAGACATACACATTTTTAAAGGCAAGCACATCACATGTCAATTTGATAACAAGTGGTCGCCTTCGGCATTGGAATTAGGTACTGTCAAAAATTATACAAAATCAAAATGCATGTCTCCCGGTTTACATGAAATGTACAAGCTCTTTTCGAAAAATCACAGGTCTTCTTATTCGTTTCGCTCTTGGCAGAGCGGTCGTAAATAGTCGTGATCACATGTTTAGTGCATAGCTATAAGTACTGATTCCTCCACTCCCATTTCCCAGGCAATAGCTTATGGAAACGGCACAGGAATGTGTTTTTGTGTCAGTGTCATATTATGACGTGACAGAGCATACTAGTCTGAAGTCTGACTGACGTTTGTCGTCACAAAAACACCCGCCCGTCTCGCTCCCATACTCCAGGCACTGACTTAGTTATAAAAACATTAATCCAGGGTTTCCCAAACTATGGGTCGCGACCCAACGACACACCACCCTACCGATACAACCGCTGGGCAGCGGGAGAAATTTCCAATAGGTGGGTCCCGAGTTTGGGAACTTGTATTAGATGAGTCGTAGCCCAAACAACTTTGGGAGCCACTGCATTAATCTATTGAATCAAAAACCGGCCAAGTGCGTGTCGGACTCACGCACAAAGGGTTCCGTACCATTGACAACTTACTAGATCTCGTTCAAAACAATTTTAGTTGATAGTTTTTATAGTAATGTACATCATATGTTTTTTTTAGATTTTTCATTTTCTTATTTTAGAAGTTAGAGTGGGGGGGGGGGGCAACTTTTTTCCACTTTGGAAGCGTCGGTCACGCAAACTATTCGGTTTAGAAAAAAAAAATTAGAACCCTCGATATCACTTTTGAAGACCTATCCATAGATACCCCACACGTATGTTTGGTGAAAAAAAAAATTTTTGAGTTTCAGTTCTAAGTATTGGGAACCCCCAATATTTTTTTTTTTTTTTGCATCTAAATCTTAAAGCGGTTCACAGAATACATCTACCTACCAAGTTTCAACAGTATAGTTCTTATAGTTTCGGAAAAAAATGGTTGTGACATACGGAAGGACAGACGGACAGACAGACAGACATGACAAATCTATAAGGGTTCCGTTTTTTGCCATTTGGTTACGGAACCCTAAAAAGTGATTCCTCCTTCCCACCCACCTTTAGACATGGGCGAGAGCATATGCAGCATGACACTGAAGGCACCGGCGCTGCATCCCGCCAGCGTGACACGGCTTGGGTCCCCTCCAAAGGACCTGATGTTGGCCTGCACCCACTTGAGGGCAGCCACTTGGTCTTTGAGTCCATTGTTGCCTGGCGCGTGCTCGTCGCCCGTGCTTATGAAACCTGGGGTGAAATAAAAAGCTTGTCTTAATTGACAAAGGTGACAGAGTTTCTTCCGCTACTTCTCTTCAAGCAAATGTGGAGTAGAGCAAGCCATATTTATATCAAAAAGGGTTATATGTACATATAAAATGCTTTGTTCTGATGGATCAACGCACAGCCTAAACCGTTGATCATAGAGACCTGAAACTTGGAGGTTGTGGCGACCAAGGCATCCGATCCGAAAGGATTTTTTTCTAAATTCTACCCCTAAGGGGGCGAAAAAGGGGGACAAAGTTTGTATGGGACAACGTGATTCCTTGGTCTAATCTTTTTGCATAAACATTCTTTAACATAATTAATGGAAGAGTGCGGCACACTAGCGCGGGCACCGGGGCTCGCCTGCTCGTAGACTGGACTCACCGAGCGAGGCCAGGCGGTAGTTGACGGCGGGCACCGGGGCTCGCCTGCTCATACACTGGACTCACCGAGCGAGGCCAGGCGGTAGTTGACGGCGGGCACCGGGGCTCGCCTGCTCATACACTGGACTCACCGAGCGAGGCCAGGCGGTAGTTGACGGCGGGCACCGGGGCTCGCCTGCTCATAGACTGGACTCACCGAGCGAGGCCAGGCGGTAGTTGACGGCGGGCGCCGGGGCTCGCCTGCTCGTAGACTGGACTCACCGAGCGAGGCCAGGCGGTAGTTGACGGCGGGCGCCGGGGCTCGCCTGCTCGTAGACTGGACTCACCGAGCGAGGCCAGGCGGTAGTTGACGGCGGGCGCCGGGGCTCGCCTGCTCGTAGACTGGACTCACCGAGCGAGGCCAGGCGGTAGTTGACGGCCACCAGCACCAGCTCCCGGTCCAGCAGGTAGCCCGGCCCGGCCACGTCGCTGCGGCCCGAGCCCGAGTAGAATCCACCAGAGTGTAGGTACACCAGTACCGGAACGGGGTTTTTCCTGCGATAACATTGAAATCAAAAGATTATCTCACAGGATTAGAAGATATGTCGACAATTTGCTTGTTTGTGACGTTCCAACACGAGGAAAAATTATAAAATTCAAAACATCTTTATCACAATTACATAAGTTGTCAAATTATATGAGAACAGATCCCCTGCATTCCGCCTCGCATACAATACAATAGCCAAAATTTTTTAGAATATCATATTTAAAGTTCTTTAAAATGTATACGATTTTGTTGAATCAAAAAACCGCTTGCTTTCATCCCATCATACTGTAACGTGTTACAGAGAAATGTAAGTAAGTGTAATGACGCGACGCGATCAGCAAAAGATCGTTTCATAGCGATAAGACCGCCAAGTTGTACCTTGTGTGTTTCTTTTTCTTTCTGTTCTGTTCTTTAGTATGCAATAAAGAGTATTTATTATTATTATCATCACAGCATACCTCTGGTTGTTAGTAGTGTAGACATTGAGCCGAAGACAATCCTCGTCGATGTAGAAGTTTGAGGTGGCCACCGGCTGCGGGCATCCCGGGCCCTCCGCCGTCGCGTTCACCTCCGAAGAGTAGCTGGTGATCAGCCTTGGGGGCTGCAAGTGGGAAAAAAGACCGTAATAGCAGGCCTGTTCATCTCCGCGAGTTTACATCGAAAACAAAACACGCACGATGGCCCACCTACAGGATACGATTCGACAAGGCCTCACATACGAGCGAACATTGACTCACGCACGCGTATTCTTGTGTATGATGGAAGAAAATGGTGTACTAAATACTGTGCAGTATTTAACTGCTTAAATAATAATACAAACACAGAATGTAATTTTTTAAGTTGCCTCAAGACACTGAGAGGTAAATAAGTAGTTAATATTATTCATGATAATTCATGCTAACTAAATCATGTATTTCCTCCGCCATTTTCCGCAGTTTGGCACCTCACGTCACATCATTTTACCGAAGTCAGCCCTATAGCTTCGGCGCAGTGCCGATCACTGACGTTTGTTAACAAAATGGTGCTTGACTCTTGAGACAGGCTAAATTACACCATATTGTTAATGACATTGAGCATAAATTTTTTTGAATACCTTCGCGAAGTAAAACTTCTGTACGTAGTACTTATTATTATTCTGTGGTAATAGATGGTTGACAAGTGAAAGCAGCAGTGGGAGATCGTATGTGACTGCACCAGACAGTCTGCCAATAGAGAGAGATGGATGGAGATCGTGCGGAGAGTTGTATCCGCCTCTACAACCGATGTGAACAACGCCTCAACGTGACCACGACCGCTCTGCCAAGAGCGTAACGAATAAGAAGAAGAGATGGTTGAACCTTTAAGCTAGTACAGTCACAATTAATAGGGCAGTTTGTCTCTGTGGTAGTGGGGCGGTTCGAGAGGGATCAATATAACAGTACGAGTATGTGCAGAAGCACATCTGAAGTCTTGCTGCCGTTATGAAGTAATAAATACAGCCCTGGACCGCCCTATAACCCCAAGAACCAACTCAGTTTTGCGCTATATCTGTACCACAGTTCGGAAAAAGTAGGACACGTCTTACTTTCACTGATATTCTTTATGGACAACAATTTGAAACTCGAACATTTTGTTTTTAATTTCTACCTCATCTCCGTAATCCGTTACATAAGAATAACCCCTCTGAATGCAAGTAGTTTTTATTTATATGTGATTGGTGTGACCTTCAGGAGATGACTACATCTAATGACTTGCAATTGGTGCCCAAACAAAAACTGCGTCATTCGCATTGCGCATCCAAAAGCCCAATTTGATGAGGGCATCGGACGACGAACGATTGTATCGTTCCAGAAGCCCGTCGAAAGAGGGGCTACTGCGGACGATGTCATTACATCAGGTGCTTAACTATATTTGGGGATCACTGTGAATTGCAAATTATTAAGACCTTAGTAGCTCGTTTGAAATTAATAAAAAAATAATATGGAATGGCTTCTTTTCAGCACTTGCTTTTTAGCATCATCTGGATATCATAGATCGCATCTGGCATCACCTACACACAGAAGAAAAACATTCATCTCGAAGTAGTTAGGGCAAACATTATACTAAACTGGATATTTTTAACGAACTGTGAATAGAGGTTTGTCACAGGTCTAATTTAGGGTTGTGCTTCAGCAGTGAAGACTGAAAGAACTGCAGATCGCATATCTGCTGGTCAGTATCTATACACACTACCCGAGCTCTAGGACTTAGGGCTTGACTTACTTTTGACTTATGGTCCTATGTCCCCTAGATGGGGCAGAGGGCGTCCACAACAGTCCTCCATCTCGTTCGGTCTTGAGCTTCTCGCTTGATCTCGCTCCAGGTCTTGCAGATCTTCTTCGCCTCGTCCGCTACAGTGCGCCGCCAAGTTTGCCTGGGTCAAACACGTTTGCGTTTTCCTTGGGGATTCCAATCCAGAGCCTGCTTAGGGATGTGATCGGGATCCCTTCGGAGAGTGTGGCCAATCCAGTTCCACTTGCGGCGCTTGATCTGCTGGTCGATCGGAATTTCGTGGCAGCGTTCCAATAGCTCGACGTTGGAGATTTTCTCGGGCCAGTATATGCCGAGAATTCGGTGAAGGCAGCGGTTGATGACTTAGAGCTAGGGTAGACCTAAACTCTATGTACACATACATAGAGTTTACGTGAATAACAACATCTGGAAACACACCTGGAACCTATATTCTCCGGTGGGCGGCTCCGCGTAGGGTATGCCGCGGTAGGCTTGCACGTGCCGCCCGCGCCGCGTCGTCATCCATGATCCGCGGATGGCGCCCGACGGCGTTATTGTTATGGGGTCGCCAGTTGGTGGTGACTCTGGTGAAGATATTAAGTAATAATGTATTTAGAAAACAATGGGTAATTTGAATAAGATGTTAGATATCCTATTAGTGTTAAAAGTCACTTGTGCCAGGAGAAACGGCCAGCAGTAAGTACATTCACATTATACATTCACACAAGGGGGGAGATATTAAAACGGAAATCCAAGTTCGCAAAGTCCCTGGTTGTTGCCAAGGTCGAACTCGATGGAGATGGAGGGCACCTAGGTAGGGGGGGTAGTGAGATTTATTATTAAGTACTTATAAGTTGTTGCTTGATATTAAATAATTATCCATGGCTTTTTCCTTTGTTTGGTATTTTGGAATTTATCACATTGAAATTAATAATAATATGGCGTTATCAAATCTACGCGTTGAAATTTTCTGGAATTAATATCTACCAGAGATTTGTCCCAATTTTATATAATGATGATCATCAATCAATCAATATGATTCCAAATGTGACCTGGGTCGCAATTTCCCTATCTCTAACTGCAGATCTACCCATGTAGAAGAACGACTTAAAAACGATTTAGGTTTACGATTTTAGCGTGTTGCACGCCACAGTGATATACCTATTACCAAAATTAATAGAAAACCGGTAAACACTAATTAACCTTCAATGCCTAGAACAAAATAATTACTTGAAATGCCTATATTTTAAGCGTTACCTACTTAAAATGATTTTTAAAGAACATTTAATAAAATCATTATTATCCTTGAGGCATTATCCTTAACATATAAGACTTAACACAGATTTCATGTTTCTAGTTTTCACAATAAAAATATTTTATTTTATTTTTTTATGCATAACAAGGCAGGTATTTGACCACAATCGCACCTGATGTTAAGTGGGATGCAGTCTAGGATGGTACATATCTGCCCTGTAAGTGCCTATTCACTCTCGCCTTGAAAAGGCCCGGATTATAGTCGGGAAAGACAGGAAAGACATTTTGAAAATTTTCAATGTTTCGTTCATTTGTTATTGGTTTGCACTACTAACCTGTGCTAGGTTTCCGGTGGTGGCGTTCCTTGTGCGCCGCTGCGTACGCGCACACCGCTAGACACAACACTATGAGGCGCAACATGGTCGCGCGCGCGTTCAAAACTAACTCCCAGCGATCAGGACCTCCCTTATATGCGCTTGGTTTCGAGGCGTCTGGTGATTCAGGCAGATTATTATACGTCTGGATGAGTCGAAAGTGCGGTCTCATCGCTTGGAGGGTTCCGTTGGGATGGAGTTTGTCCTAGGCAAGGCTGTAGCCATATTTGTGTTTTTTGAAACGAAATCACGTCAGATTCTAGTGTCAGACTTAAGAGCCATCATCGGCGTATCTGTATCGATATGTTTACGATACATGATTTTTTTTATCACATGGAGATTGCTTATCTGCAGTCTGAATCGAAAAGTTATCGAATTGAAAATCGAATCCGTTGTAACTCCATACAAAAAAGGCCTCCAACCATCTTTCGACATTACCCTGTCATGTTTGCCACTTGTCTAGGGAGGCTGATGACCTACAAGGAAGTTGCCCACGAGAATAGTCAGTGACTTTGAAGCGTCAAAGTTCATGGTCAATTTGAAGCACCAAGTAAAATGTTTTCTTCATTTAAAATTCTTTAAGGCATGACAAACATGTCAGCAACGTCCAATGACTAAAATGTAACCTATTGACCGGTACAAGCATTACTCACAATCACAAATCAACAAAATTATACTCTAGAATGTGTGCGATCTGTAAACATTTTGTTAAATCAAAAAACTTTCAGGGATCAGTAGGGACGGCTATGGTCGCGGGCAAAGCTTAGTTTAGTTTTTGTAAAAACAACTACACATTGTTATTCATTGCGTCACGAGATAATTGTTGAATATCTTTTACTATCTTTGGCAGTAAGTATTCTGAGATGTAAACAAGGAAAATGAGCGGGGAAGCCCGTGTGACTGGCAGCGTGGTGTGCGTACATTTCCGCGGATGGCTCATGGCAGACAATCGCGGACCCACGCCGCGACTTTCAATTGTTTAATCTGCCGGATGATCCGAATTCAGAGTAATTGTTTTATTTACTCAAACTCCCGATGAGCCATAACAATTTATCTTTATGTTTTCTTTGTTTTTGCTGCGTTGAACTTTGGTACGCATTGTCCCAGGCATGGCAGTTTGGGGTGGTGGACGGAGTCACAACGGCTTAGGTAATAAACAGTACGGGTTCATTTTTCACTAGGGACAAAATGTTAGTGAGATCGCAATGAGATAGGTATTTAAATGTATATGAATACCACGATAACCTCTGCTTTGTTTGACGTTTATGATTAGAATATTATGTAGCTCACATACTCGTAGATATAATTTTTATTATGCTATTGTATGTATGTCTCATTTAATTGACTGCCATAAATGCCATAGTAAAACTGACCTAGGTATAAGGAAAATGGTCTTTCCGTAAAGAAAACTGATAACCGTTCAGTTGGTTAATATGAGGAAAATGTTTTATCTATAATTAAATACTTAATTGAAATCTTGGAACTATTTGTAAGCACCTGTTTACCGTGCAATGTCGTGTAGATATGTAGTTCATAATAAGGTTAGGTACTTGCTAAAGAAAGACACATTTGGTGCATAATCTTTCTAGTGGCATTGGTTTTATTTTATAGGTCAAAATAATAAGTTACTTTAAATTCATTATTTCCATCGCCAATTCCATTTCCTATACACTTTTATTGCTATTTGCTATTCACAGGCATACATTACAACTAGCATTATGGAATCAACTTATTGGGATTATATTGAGTCATTATGTAGTTATTTATTTTATTATTTTTATTTTATTTTATTTAGGATAACAAACAAATGTACAATTCAGATATTTATTTTTTATTATAATTTAAAGAGAAGTTTTATTTATCTACTATATAAAAAAAGTCGGGTTTTCCTTCCTGGACGCTATAACTCCAGAACGCACGAACCGATTTCCACGGTTTTGCATTCGTTGGAAAGGTCTCGGGCTCCGTGAGGTTTATAGCGAAGAAAATTCAGGAAAATGTAACTAACGAAATTCCACGCGGGCGAAGCCGCGGGCGGAAAGCTAGTAGGTAATATTAATTTTCTTCAGTCCAACTATCTTAGTCCGGATAGTTCAAACGCAGAGCGCTATCTACCGTAGCATGTTTGAAATAACTTTTTCGAAAAACCGCACTAGATGTCGTTACTAGTCTTGAAAATCAGAAATCGCTTGTTTTTCAGATCGGGTGGTGGTTTCATGAGTCCACGAAATCTGAGCTTACGATTAAATATTTTATATCTCAGTCGCACACTATAATACTACAAATTACAATGTAAAAGTGCTTTTTTAAAGCTTAGTTTTAGTTTTTAATAATGCAAAAAGTAGATTTGATAAGAAGTGAAGAGAAGAATGTTTAGAAGCAGAATTAATGATTTAAGAAAGAAAAGTATATCTTCCAATTTTGTATGCTATTTTTTATAAAACCTACTAAACTATAAGATAAGGCAACAAACAACCATGATGTGGGTCACATTAATGAATCTACTATGAATGTTTAGTAGTGGGTTTGCTGTTACAGTAAACTTTACCCGCATTAGGAAATGTACGAGTGAGTTCAAACAACAACTTGATTCATCACTTGATGTCTGTAGGGGCATGAGTTTTCTGCGACTCTACTTAAAAAGGGATGTTATGGATATGAAGTTTCGGCTATGGATACGGTTACGGATATTAGAATAATATTATACCTGTTTCGGTTACGGTTACGGATAGTAAATCATTTCAGATTATCCGAAAGATTCGGATAATTTCGGTTACGGATATTAGAATTTTAAAAAGGTAAAATTCAAATAGCAAGATGCTGCGCGACCCACATTACCCACATAGCCCCTTTATGTACTATGACGGTACCTATGATAAAGGTAAAACAAGGGGGTATATCAGAATGGTCCCAGGGGATGCCCGACAAGTAACAAAATATTAAAAATATTAAGATTTAGACTCCGCCTTTATTCGAAACTACGTATCCGAAACTTTTGAAACGGTTTCGGTTACGGACATTTTTTTATTTCGGATATCCGATAGTTTCGGTTACGGTTACGGATATCGTGTTCAATCCCAGCAGTGGACTGCATGGACAGACGAATGTAGCGTGCGCGTCGGCGCCTGCAGAAGTGTGCCGCCGGAACTAGAAGCGGCCTTGCCCGCGGGCGCGGTGGACATCGCATAGAGTGCCTCACATAGTAGCCGATGTATTATGTGGAATTTTCCAGAAATTTGTATCCATTTCTTGGTGTAAATCAGTCTTTCCCAAAGTGGGCGATAACGCCCCCTTGTGGGCGCTGCAGGCTTAAAGGGGGGCGGTAAGAGACCCAGAAAAAAAATCGGGACGTTGTGTAGAGGCTTGGGAGGCGTCATCTACTAGGAGGACTCTTAGACATCGACTGAGCTCGACGCTTGACTACAAAAATGGGGGGCGCTAAAAAATAATTTATTCTCAAAGTGGGCAGTAGACTAAATAAGTTTGGGAACCGCTGGTGTAAATAGTGGATTCATGATGATATTTTGTCCTAGTTTTCAGCGAGTCCTTTTCATTTCAGATTAGAATTCCTATAGCCTCTTCAAGGGTGTTTATCTAAGTATAAAGCCATGAGATTTAATAATATAATATGTAGGAGAGTCTGACTGACATGTCTATGTGCTTTAGTAGGTGAGGGAGAACTGATAAACACAGAGTCAAAGTCAAAAACTGTTGCGAGCTTGTGCTATTATGTACAAATAATTGTAGATTCAACAACTTACATTGGATAATTGGAAAGAAAATTACAGAAGCTAGTTGCCTCACAATTTTCACGCTCGACAGTTACTTTGGAGAAATAACATGAAATTATCTTTATCACATAATTCTCCGTCATTATAGCCGCTCTATGTGATGTCCTCTCTCCGAATCGACACAATATCCCGTTCTTTCTCCGCGGCCCGCTACAGTGCAGCGCAGGCGCATCGTGGAGCCGCACGCAATCTACGCCTTTGCTTAAGTCTAAAAAAAATCCGCGCCACCAAAAAGGCGCGATTCGAAAGTTTCCATTTCATTTGGTTTTTTTTTTCTTTTTGTCCTAAATGGTCAGGTGAATTGTGACATTGGCCAGGTGTGTGATATTGAAACTGAAGTGAAAATGGCGCAGAATTTAATTATTTATCTGGTAAGTCTCCATCGCATTTTTAATGATTTAACTTACTTTTCTTCCGGGTAACTGAATATTATGAATGAAAATAAGATAAATAATTATGCTGTGATAATAATTATACGTAGTTTCCTACATGTGTAGAGAAAGACTGGAATAATTGAAATATTAGATGGAAATAAAATGCAGATTCAAATCAATTGACGTTCTAGCATACTTTGCTGAAAATATTTAATTAGCATTATATTTAACACTCATTAAATGAATTTCATTCTAAGAAAAAAATATACCCAACTAGCGGCCGCCCGCGACTTCGTACGCGTGAATCCCATTTTTCCCGCTAATTCCCGTTCCCGTGGGAATTTCGGGAATTCCTTTCTTAGTGCACCTCTACGGTACCTAAGCTACGTCCCTTCCAAATTTCAAGTGCCTACGTTTAGCCGTTTAGGCTGTGCGTTGATCTGTCAGTCAGTCAGTCAGTTTCTCCTTTTATATATTTAGATAGATGTAATGAGTTAAACAGAATTTGAATTTAATGTCGTTTTAGCATGTTTTCTAATTCTGCACATTCTTTAAAAAATCTCGTATAATATTTTCTTGATTTTTTTAAGATGCTCCACAGAACACACAATCATAACCCCTGAGTGAAACAATAGAATCACCCCTGAGTGAAATTTTGATTTATTTATATGGGTATACCAAGACCAGGCCAGGCAGTCTTCATGCTTGAATGCCCCCTCATGCTTGAACATGAGATACCTATCTTTCAAGAATCATCGATTTAATTATCTAGCAATTTTTTTTTTTTTTACTTTGAGGTTGTACTAGATATAAAACAATCCATAAGGAAGGACTGTTATAAATTACCGTTACCGTTACGTATCGTTTCATAAACAACTTTTGCGTCAAGTACAAAATAAATCAGTATTATTTTAAAGATCTTCACTAAACTAGTAACATAATTTGACCTAAAGTAGGTACCTAGGTTAGGCAGGTACACTTAAATCTACGTTCTGAAGTTAACGAAATTC